GTGTCTATAAATATATATATGTATATATGTGTGTGTCTATAAATATATATATGTATATGTGTGTGTGTCTGTAAATATATATATGTATATAGGTGTGTGTGTCTATAAATATATATATATATTTATAGACACACACACCTATATATATATGGATACAGTTGGATCATGTGCTAGATTTGGATATAAGATGACCTAGGTTCAAATCCTGCCTCTGACACTTACTTGAATATTTGACCATGGGCAAGTCCCTTCACCTCTCAGAGGTTCAGTTTTCTCATCAGTAAAATAGGGATCATAATAATTACAGTCGTTGTCAGGCTCGAATGAGACAATATACACAACACAATATACAACACGGTAAACTTTCATACACCATATAATTTTTGTGACCCTAATGTCAGCTATCCTCAGGACCAGGTTTCAGCAAAATGCCAGCAATTACAAATATTACAGGTAGGTTTCCAACTTGGGAGCTATTTTCAACCAACTTTTTTTTTTTTTGCAGTTGGGGTTAAGTGACTTGCCCAGGGTCACACAGCTAGTAACAATCAACTTCTGTATAATGTGCCCAAGCTCTCTTTAAGGAATGTTATTCATTACTCTTCCTGCATTTCCATTGTCCTTCTGACACTCTTGTGGATGGATACAACTTATTCACAAAACCACCACAAACAACCTAATCATTCTGATCAACTACAAATTGATTAGCTGATCTCAGAGTCGAGGATGAACCTTTGAAGGATAGCTTCTAAAGCCGACTGGTATTTCAAGTTCAGACTGATGCCAGCCCATTCCCTGTCATCTTGTGCCTCTTTGTGTGCACTGAAATATCCATCCCATGGGCGTGCATGACTTGGCAGACGTGAGGGGCTTCCATGTCAGTCAGACCAAGACAGATCTACTTCTTAGCCAGGTTCTTGGTTCCTCCCAGCCCCGCACACAGAGTCTTCCTCGGGACATGGGAATCCTTCTTTCCTGCTCACTAGACAGCGGTCACAGGTCATCACTTCCAAGTTAGAAGAGGGGCTTCGAAGTCTATAGTCCATCTAGTTCCACCCTTTCTTTTTACACACATGTAGCCTGTGATCAGAAAAGGCAGAGGGATTCTCAAGTTGCTTCTAGCTCTAAATCTACAGCCCTGTAGTCATTAGCCCCAATTGCCTTGCCAAAAAAAAAAGAAGAAGAAGTTAAAAGAACAAACAAATTCCTATGGATTTTTTTTTCTAGCTTTCAGTCTAGATACTGTTGGTATACTCAATAGAAAGTTAGGAAGACCTGGGTTCAATTACCTCTTCTGACTTACAGTGCTTTTGTGACCCTGGGCAAGTTGCTTAACCTTGAAGTACCCCAGGCAACTCTTCTTTTGTCTTTTCTCCTTTTTTTAAGGCAGTCAGGGTTAAGTGACTTGCCCAGGGTCACACAGCTAGTAAGTGTCTGAAACAGTATCTGAACTCAGGTCCTCCTGACTCCAGGGTCAGTGTTCTATCCACTATACCATCTAGCTGCCCCAAGGCAACTCTTTAAGACTGTACCATCAAAGCAGTTGCAGAACTTCTTGAATAGAGGGATTTGCCTTTACAGAAGCTCCTGAGCCAATGAAATCACAGGTCTGGTACCACCAAAAAATTTTTGTTAAAGAAAATAGTTAATGCAAGTGATGTTCATGGTCCAGGATTCCCAATGCAATATCCTCAGTCCTGGGTGCTATGCATGATATATAATGGGTACTTAGCAAATATTTCTTGGCTAATTGTTATTGATTATACTAAGTTTTCCTGATCCCAACCACCTAGGGTTGACAACAGTTACATAGTTTAGTTTGCCCAGGCTTTGAACATTGGAGATACTGAATGAAATTGTCTGTCACCAGTGTTTTAACAGATTTGCCTGTCCTCACAAGCCAGGCAGGCCTGGACAGAAGTAGAACGTGGAAGATAAGAGGCTACACCTCATTTAATAGTCATACTTCTGGTCTTAATCATTTGGGCTATTGATATTGGGTGGGATTCTAAGAAACAAGGATCTCTGAAGCTTTTCCATGAGCAGTAGAGCAGTGAAGGAACTGCGTAGATCATTGGTTATAAGCCCTGTAAAAGGATTTTGGTTACCTGTAGAATCTCTTAATTCTTCTGGGGAGGAAATTATACAGAAAATGCCATTGATCAATTTTATTCCTATTTATTATCCCATATTGAAGGGGGGAGCATGCAAATTTCTTATAGACCTAGGGCCTGGAGAGCTATATTAGTTTGGGTGAGTGATGAAATCTAATTAGGGCAGCAGGAAGGCAGCAGGGTCAACTAGAATGACCAATGAATCCATAATTCTAATACCATAGGAATAATAACAACTCCTTTATGTCTATCTGGTCTGTTCCTGAGGGGTATATTTCCATGGTGGTTGGGATCTACTGATCTTGAATTGGTGCATTTGTGTAAAAAAAAAAATTATAATTGCTTCAGCTGCTTCAATATAAAACCTCATACACTCTTACTCTCTTGGGCCATTCAGAATCAGCCTATAGGGGCAGCTAGATGGTGCAGTGGATAGAGCACCGACTCTGACGTCAGGAGGACCCAAGTTCAAATCCAGCCTCAGACCAAACACTTGACACTTACTAGCTGTGTGACACTGGGCAAGTCACTTAACCCCAATTGCCTTAAAAAAGAATCAGCCTATAAAACTCTACATCCAATATGTACTGCATTCTTCTCTAAAACCAGATCTGATATGGAAACTTAGGGTGATGGTGGTAAGGCAAAGATTAGTGGATAAATACACATACATATTCAGTATCTGTTGTCTACCAGATTAGTTTATAAACTTGCAATAAACCCCATAGCTAGACCAGTGTGAGATGCTGTCACTATACTTGGAAATCTAGGACAGAACTGGAAGATAAGATTGGAATACTGGCATCTTGATCAAATATTTGTTAAATACTTGTGTACAAAAAACCATGCTAGGCTGAGGATACAAAAATAAGTACCATACAAATACCTATACTACAAAGTAAAGTGAGCTAAGTGTAAAGGAGAAGTATGAGCAAAGGAATATTGAGAAATTGAGGAGAGAGAGCTCATTTTTACCCAGAGGCAGGGTTAAGAAAGCTTTATTGAGGAAGCCTGATTGCTTTGGAGCTTTAAGAAAGGGTCTTTAACACAATAATGGAGAAGTCCACTCTAGACACTGAGGAGAGCTTGAGCCAAAGCATATAGAGATGGGTAGAACAAAAATTTTGTTATACTCTAAAATGAAGACTCCATTAAAGGGAGCCATAGGAGGTAAGAATGGACAAGTAGGTTAGGGCCAGATTGTGAAGAGTTTTAAACCATGATCAGAAGTTGATACACTAAGCATTGAGGAGCCCCTGAGTGTTTTTAGTAGAGTAATGACTTGGTCATAAAAATAGAAAATTGGGGACATTATTTGGGCAGTAATAAAAAAGATAAAGTAGTAGGTACCACAAGTAAACAAGAAGAGATGAATATCTGAAGTGGGATGGCTTTGGGGTAAGTGAAGAGAAGGGTCAGCTGCAAGAGACATTGTGTAGAGAGATGGCAAATTCAAGGCCAACCTTCCTGCAAAAACTCCCCAAGTAGGGCAGAACAAGATTAAAATGTAATTGAGAAATGTTTAACAAAATAAATAAAAGCACAATATGAGATAGATAATGTTAAGTTGTGGTTTTCTAAGCTAATATGCAGCCCACTGGGATCCTTTCTAGTTAAGTTTGACACCACTGATGTAGAAGGAAGACCTAGAACTTGGAAGCAGTTAGAAGACTGGGGTTCTTGTTCTTGCTCAATGAACTCTCTTTCTTAGTCTAAGAGGACTTCCTGAAGAACATGGTCTCATGAATAATAGGATGGTGGATTAGCTAAGAAGAGGCTTTTAAAATCATGGGAGAATGGTGGGAGGGGTGACACGGCACTGAGCCAAAAACCAGAGAACATGGAGAAACATAGGAAAATTAGTTTGAATAAACCAGAGAGAGCTGGTGAGGAAATAATGAGCAGGACAAAAAAAAGACATATGTAGGATGCTAGAAGCCCATATGGGAGAGTTTCATATTTTAAATGAGTAGTCACTGTAAAATACCAAGTTGGGAACCAATGTGGGCAGAATAATGTGTATAAAGACAACTTGTTACCATCATCAGTTGAGGGGAGCAGTGAAAAAAGTGGTCTCTCAAGTTCTGGAAATAGAAAAAGCGGCAAAATTTAGCAACTGTTTGAACGAGAAGATGACACGACAATGAGCCATCTTAAAATAGCCCCAAGTTCCCGTGCTTTAGTGGTGGGGAAAATTAAGGCTTGAAAATAGTTGTTGTTGAATTGGTTAAACATAGGATTCTCATTTAAAGATTATGAAAATGAATTGTTTTCTGAGGGGCCCACTGGTTTTGGAAATTGGGAAATCAGTTCTATCTTTGGGGTGGTGGTTTTGTTCTTTTTTGTTTTGTTTTGTATTTCTGAGACTGGGTCTTCCTATCTCACCCAAGCTGAAAGTGCAGTGGCTGTGCTGCAGTCATGATCCCCCTACTAACTGGCTTAGGAGCTCTGACCTGCTCTGTTTCTTACCTGAGCCAGTTCACCCCTCGTTGGGCAGCCTGGTGGTCCTCCACTCTTAGTAGCTCACCAGAAGGGTACTCGCTGTAACCACGCACCGGCTCAGCTTAGCTCATTAAAACTCAGAACTCCTGAGCTCAGGCAGTCCACTGGCTTCAGTCTTCCCAGTAGCAGCAATTATAGGTATGCCACCACAACCAGCTCTCCTTGGGTTTGAAAGTACAAGAGAAGCCGTAACATCAGCATTCACTGGGGTGAAGTACTCACTTACCAAAATTGCGTACAAAATACTTCTGGAATGCTCTTTTACTGCTTCAGCTTTCCCTTTTGTGAAGAATATTTTTCATTCTGTTCAAAGATTGTGATGACAATAGAAATGAAATATAATATGAGAAAATCCCATGCTTAAATATTTCTTTATTCTTTTAGGCCTCTTTTTCGTGGAAGTTCAGATGTTGATCAACTAGGAAAAATCTTGGAGTAAGTAGTAACCCAAGTGTTATGTCAGTGAAAATCACAGTGGCTTTCGTCTGTCATCCATGAAAATAAGTGTCCATCTCACCTCCATTTTCAAAAATGTTGTTGTTGATGGTGTTCGTAACTGTGCAGCACAAAAGCCAAGTCATATGTGGGGCTTGTGGCAGGTGGGGAGAGGGGAGCCAGTACTCTCTGGGGAGCCTGTCAGACATTGGCTTCTGCCTCTTTTTCCTAGGTCTTGCCCATGATCCGGCTGCCCTGTTTTGACTGTTGTAAGTCCAGTCAATGTGTTTGCTGTTCTTGCTCCTCGGCCGCCATCGCTGGGCAGCTTTAATTGATTTGTTAGCCTTTAGAACATTTTCTCTGCCAGCCTGACCTCCATTACTCCATCTGAGCTCTTCATGCTAAGGATGTCATACACACATTCCCTGCCTAGGGAGCTCTCTGATGGGTACCATATATAGGCTCTTGTTTTTTTTTGGGGGGGGTTTCCAGAGCACTGTTACTAAGTCTCAGGAGGCCTGCTTTCTTGTCCTAGTTCTGATATTAACTAGCTAGATGACCTTGAACAAGCTGCTTAATTTTTCTGTTTCACATTTCCCAACTGTAAAATTAAAGGATTTGGATGAAATCATAGGATTGTAAACGAGGGAGCTTAGAGAATATCCCATCCAACTCCCTCATTGTACAGATGAGGAAACCGAGGCCTTCCTTCAATTGCCAGCATTCTAGATTTAGAACTAGAAGAGACCTTAAGAGATCATTCAACCCACCGCTCTTATTTTACTGATGAGAGAACCCTAGAGAAGTCAAGCCTAAAAGATTGCTTCCAGTTCAAATCCTGATTCTCGCTCATATACTTAGATCAAGATGAGACCTTAAAAGTCAAATTTTACAGATAGGAAGTTGAGGCCCAGAGAGATCAATTGATTAACCCCAGGTCACACAGTGACAGCATTGAGACATGAATCCAAGACCTTTGGCTCCAAGTCCATTGCCCTTTCCACCCAACTATATCTGTTGTGTGGTGTTTTGCTAACTTTGAATACATGTATAGTGTATGTCTACATGCATGTAATGTGTGGTCATAGTCCTTTTTTTTTTTAACTCTAGACTTGGGCACTTGCAGAACCCATTTCTGATTGGAAGGGAATGGAGATATATACGTAGAAACAGTTGGAGAACAGTTCAGACTTGACCTCTGACAGTTCCTGGATATACCATGTCAATGACTTTGGATACATATTTTTAATCTGTTCAGTTGGAAAAGCGTCCAGCTTATTAGCAGCAGGACCAGAAGTATTCCAGTGTCACCATTTAAATTAGTTTCCATCCAGAGGGACCCATTATGTACACCTGCTTCATCCATTTGCAGATTGGTGATGTTCTCACAGCTCCATTCACTGTCATTTTGTATGAGGCTTAACCCTCATACAAGCAAGGTTCAGCATTACATGGGGGGCCACCGAAACATGCAGTCCCACAGAGGATGTTAAATACTTTTCTAAGACTCATGAGTTCAGTGTAGCAGGCTTGAGAGTGTTATTCTCTAAACTTGGCTTCTCCTCTCTCTCTCTCTCCCTTCTTTGAGCATTCCAGTGCATAATCCCAGTCATCTTACCTTATAATAGCTCAGTATGCTCAAAGTGTATGTCTTCTCAGTCAATCAACATTTATTATTAACAACAACAGTACTACATGCTAGGCACTTTGATAAGCCCTAGGGATACAAAGAAAGAGGAAAGAAGGTCCCTGCTCTCAGAGATGTCCCAGTTTGATGGAGGAGATGATGTGGGCACAACAATGTTCGTAAAAGGTGTGTGCAAGATAAATTGGAGGTGATCAGCAGAGGGAAGGCAGTGGCATTAAGGAAGATGGGGAAGGGCTTCTTGTAGCAGGTGGGACTTTAGCTGAGACTTAAAGGAAGCCGGGAGGTGAAGATGAGGAAGGAAAGCGTTCTAGGGATGAGAGATGGTCAGTGAAAAAGGACAGAGTCCTTGTATAAAGAGTATTAGAAAATTACATATGGCTCCCAAGGCCTCTGCTTAGAGTTCTTAACCTTTCTTGTGTTGTGGACCCCCTTGCAAGTTGGTGAAACTGATGGACTTCTCCAGTATACTAGTTTTAAATGTACAAAATACATAAGATTACAAAGGAAACCAAATTTATTGAAGAAGTTCATGAACCTCTGACTTAGAGAAAACATGGCCTTTCCTGAAACTGCATATACTGAACGCTGAAGACCCTCTGTTTCCTCTCGCTGATGCCTCAGGTCACCTGGTGGCAGTATCTGGCTATCAACCTTTTAGTTTATCAGTCAGTTTAATATTGTTAGTGGATGAAGCCAATGAGAAGGACCAGAAAAGAAATTTGACAGGACAGATTGAAGTCCTTAGATTTTTCAAGCCTGCGAGCGGATTCCCAATTTGGCAAATCCTGGCAGCTCTAAGATGTCGAAGGGAGAGGGTGGATAATGGTCAAGTTTTCCGTAGTGTTCCTTTAAAGTATATTTTTGCTCCTTGGTGTTTGCCACTTGCTCATAGACATTGATATTCTAATTATTACCCTTAATATGCAGACTCTAAAGGCCCTAACAGTCAAAAAAAAAAAAAGGCCAATACTGCACCCTAGTGTCATTTGCAATGTACTTGAAGAATTCTTTCCCCCTGCCCCCCTAGGCCCCCAACAGTCCAGTCTGTGGAGCTCTGTGTACTATCAGACTTACCAGGGTGAATAGCAGCTGTTAGAAGCAGCAGTCAGTTGTCTCAGTGGTGCAGCTTGGTACAAGGTCCTGGGCATGGGCCTATCGGAATGTCACCACTCTCCTATATATTGGCGGTGGAAGTTGACAGGAGACTAGATAACTTTTACCACAAAAGAGAGAGCTCTGTTTAGGTATCCTTAAAGAGAGAAAATAACTTGGTGAGTTTCAGAAAATTTACATTTCTTTTGAAAAACTGAAAGCATTTTTTTGAAGAAAAGCACCCTGTAACATGGTTTTAGGAGGGCTAGACCAAGAATTAAGAGAATTGGGTTCTGAGCCTTGCTCCTGCCACTGGCCTTATCAGGGATCTTGACGAGTCATGTATTTCCTTTCTCTGTGTTTCAGATGATAATGTCTATAGATAAGTGGATGGATAGACAGATAGATGGATGGATAGATAGATAGATAGATAAATAGATAGATAAATGTTATTGTTCTTTCCAGTAGACAGTGTTTATAGTGACTGAAAAGAAAACATTAGGGTCAGAAAAACCTGAGTTCAACCCCTTCTTCAGGCAACTTTCTTTTTTTTTTTAATAATAAATTTGTTTATTTGTTTATTTTTAGGTTTCAACATTCACTTCCCTAAAATTTTGAGTTCCAAATTTTCTCCCCATCTCTCCCCTCCCCCCACCCCAAGACAGCATGTAAATTGATATAGGCTCAACATATCCATTCATATTAAACCTATTTTCACATTAGTCATGTTGTAAAGAAGAATTAGAACCAATGGGAGAAACCATGAGGAAAAAGAAGCAAAAAAGAGACAGAGCAAATAGTATACTTCCATCTGCATTCAGACTCCATGGTTCTTTTTCTGGATGTGGATAGCATTTTCCATCATGAGTCTTTTGGAGTTGTCTTAGATCCTTGCGTTGCTAAGAAGAGATAAGTCTATCAAAGTTAGCCATCATACGATACGCACTGTGTACAATGTTCTGCTGGTTTTGCTCACTTCAACCAGCATCACTTCATATAAATCTTTCCAGGTTTTTCTGAAGTCTGCGTGTTCATCATTTCTTGTAGTACAATAGTATTCCATTACATTCATATACTACAACTTGTTCAGCCATTCCCCAACTGATAGGTATCCCCTCAATTTCTAATTCTTTGCTACCACAAAAAGAGCTGCTATAAATATTTTTGTACATGTGGGTGTCCTTTTCCCATTTGTATGATCTCTTTGGGATGTAGCCCTAGAAGTGTTATTGCTAGGTCAAAAGGTATACACTTGAGGCAACTTTCTAATGCTACACTGGTGAAATCCCAGATCTAATAAATCCCTACAACTCCCCCACACACCCAAAGAAAAAAACCATTGTGAATGCCCTAGCTATGAAATGGATGACCACATTGCTTGGTTTTCTCTAGGCTTAATTCCATTAAAGAATATTGAAGAAAGTCCTACCGATAAGAGACTTTGTACTGATAGGTGATACCTTTGTAAAAGTTGTTGAAAGAATAGAGGCTAGGCAAAAGGAGGGGAAAATATCTTAAAACTTTAAATTCAGAAAATATCCCCTCTCCTTCCTCTTCTATGTGAACATATTCTTTAATAATTCACAATGATTCTTAATTCTTTTGTTTTTAAGTTTAGTTTTCCTGCAGTGCTCAACTTTGTTTATGCATGCTCAGTCTTAATAGATGGCACACGATTGCCTACTCACATCTTTGAAATATCAGAGGAATTTCTTTTTCTCTTAGTAATTCCTATTCTAGACCTTGGTATCCGAGCATATTTTCATGCAGTTGTAATCCAGTCATTCCTGATCACTTAAGTGTGTGTGTGTGTATATGTACACACACACACACACACACACACTCTCTCTCTCTCTCTCTCTCTCTCTCTCTCTCTCTCTCTCTCTCTCTCTTAAGTCTTTGATTCTTTGCTCAGTCTGTAATTACTCAGTTCAGCTGCACCTGAGCAAGGCCAGGTGTAGGGTGTCCTGACCTCGCATTTGCCACAGGAACACACCTGTACAGGGTGTACTCATAATGCCATTTGCCCCAGCTGCCAGGTAAGATCCAAGAGTTGAGATGTTAGGTAAAAGATGAGGAAGAGGATGATCGTGCCAAGATCTCAAGAATAATGAAAAGCCTTAAAGTGGATCAATGAGAAGATACATTCCTCCATGAAAAAAGCATGCTTCCACATATACATTCAGTATGCCTATAAACACGTGCCTGAGGACAATGACTTCACACAGTCAGTGCCATTTGTAAACTATTATTCTCGGTATACATCCCTGATTTCAGAGAACTGATGGCCAAGCATGCTTCTCATCTGACAAAGAGGTGATAGACTCAGAGCAGATGAAACATACGCTATTTGGACATGGCCAGGGGTGTGCTGGAGCCAATTGTTAAATTCTCAGGGTGAACATTTATACTTTGGAAATCAGCAAATGCTACAGATCTTGATTTATTGTTTGCTTTATTATTTAGACTTAGGAAAGTGATAGAGAAAATGTTAATAACTCAGATTACATTTAAAAGTACGTCTTGCATTTTTGGAGACCCAGTTGTTAAATATTTGCCAGCACATCCCAGGATATGGCCAGTGTGAAAATTTGTTTTGCTTCTCTATGTATATTTGTTACAAAGCTTTGCTGTTGTTAATGTTGTTGTTTTCCCAATGGTGGGGGGGGTGAATGAGAAAGAAAATTAATTTTTTTTGTTCATTAAAAAAAAGTAATGCTTTAAAAAGTATTTTGGTTTTAATAACCATGAACCCAGCATTTCTCATCCTTAACAAGGCTTACCAATGCCCAGCTTACAAATCCAGTCTGTAATAGCAAATGGTTCTTTTCTGAGTTCCATGCTACCTCTTATTTATCCCTATTCTTTTTACTTCATAATGAAGCTAGCTCTTCATCAGCCAGCAAAAATAATTTCCAAATAATACAGCATCATATCACTAACATGTGCCCTAAAATACATGTTCAAGGGGAGCAGATTAAATGGCAGTTAGGTGGTGAAGTGAATAAAGCACCAGCCCTGGAGTCAGGACAACCTGAGTTCAAATCCAGCTTCAGCACTTACTAGCTGTGTGACCCTGGGCAAGTCTATTTACCTTGATTGCCTCAAAAGAAAAAAAAAAGGAAGCAAATTAGTCCAGCTTTTTAATATGGTATTAATTCATTGGTTTCTTGTTTGGTTTTGGTTTTGGTTTGGTTTGCTTAAAGTGAGAAATATTTCCTTCCTATAGAACTGATGTCCAAGGAAAGGGACTTAAGAGTATAATAAAGAATGAACTCAGTTACAACCAATGAATGTCTCTTTATCTTATAGCCAATTCCACTTTATCTAACAGTTCTTTCACTTTTGAATACCAATATGTATTTCAAGTACAACAGAATTTGTTCCTTCCTAAGAGTATTCTGGGCACAGGATATGACCTATGCCATTGGGTCTTACAGTGATGAATCTGGATTTTTAATGTAATTGTTCTGGGGGTTATAGTCAGACCACCCCCCCGCAGCAGCTCCAAATTCATAGAATAGCATGCTGATGTCCAAAGGGGTCCTGCTTCAGTTGAGTTTTGGAGATCTGAACATTCATCATTGGTGTGATTAAGAAAAGAAAGTACCTCTGGAACATCTTCTCTTAGTCCAGCACCAATATGGTGAGCTTCACACCCTCCCCCTCAAGCAGGGTACCACCAGGCTGCCTAAGGAGGGAGTAAATAAGGTGCATGTTGGAAACAGAACAGCTCAAAACCTCCTACTGATCATCTGTGGGATTGGGCCTGTGAGTGACCACTGCCCTTTCAGCCTGGGCAAGATAGGGAGATCTAAACGACCTGGTATGTTTGTCTCCATTTAAAAATGCATATAACCGTATCTGAACATGTTCTCCCATCATTAAATGTTTGCAGGTTTGTCCTCTGACAGTTGTAAATTTATAACTTAGATGGTATCTTTTATATAACATACTACTTATATGATGTCTCTCACTAAAGTATTTTTAGGACATTTACAATTCCCTGTGAGTATTACCCTCAATTTTTGTCTCCTATAACCCGTCATCTAGGAGGGCAATTTGGAATCAGATGTAGAGCCCAAAGGGAACTCAGAGCCCTTCATATCTAACCCATTCATGAGAAATGAGATGCAAAGAGGTTAATGACTTTGCCAAGGTCACAGAGATAGTGTCAGGAGACATTTGAACCCAGAACCTTTTATTCCAGAGTTAGTGTTCGTTCTTTCCACAGTACCATGCTACCTCCCATTTCTGTGTCCCTAATAGAAATGAAATTATTCCCGAAAACCTCTTTAATGCTCCTAAGTGGGCAAGTCTCATAATCTTTCTTGGCCTCAGTTCCCTCACCTGTAAAGTGAAGGAGGTGGTCTAGAAAACCTCTAAGGTCCCTTCTAGCTTTAAGTTTATCGTCCTCCAATGCTTCATTCTGAACATCAGACTGCTTTCTTTTTGGTCTTAAACTGGGGAGAGGGAGGGGGTTAGAGGTGCATATCTGCTAGAGCAGCGGCAGCGTCCAGCTCTGACCAGAACTGACATTCACGTTTGTCTCTCTTCCAGTGTCATTGGACTTCCAGGTGAAGAAGACTGGCCAAATGATGTGGCCCTCCCCAGGCAGGCTTTTAATGCAAAATCTCCCCAACCAATCGAAAAGTTTGTAACAGATATTGATGAGCTAGGCAAAGACTTACTTATGGTAAGTGCCTCTGTGTGTGAGCAGGCCAGATCAGAACCACAGCAGACATGCAGAGGGTGGGGTGGACAAGGGCCCGAGGAACCTTTGGGCTCTAGCAGAGCCGGGAGGAGAGGCAGCGGCCACGGTCGACCTCGGAGTTATAGTGGGGCTGCAGGTCTGGATTCAGAGCCCACAGAGAAGCAGGCTTTTCTTTTTCTTTTTAAATATATAAAATGTCTACGAAGCATGAAGACTTTGATGAAACAGCCAGATTATTCAGCAGAAACTCCACACCTCAGGAAGCAGGAGAAGTGGTCAGTGCCTGGGGCAGGGGGACCATCAGCTTCCTGGCTCCACTACTCCCAAGGTTCAGTTTGACCTGCCTTGCCTCCCACACTTCCCTCTAGAATTGCCTTCACTCAGAGAATGTTTGCAACAAGGGATTTCTTTCCCCCACTCAAACAGTATTAACTCTGTAGTAACCTGCTGGTTACCCTTAATTTTTTTTTTTGAGGGTGTGGTGAGGCGATCAGGGTAAGTGCCTTGCCCAGGGTCACACAGCTAGTAAATATTAAGTGTCTGAGGATGGATTTGAACTCAGGTCCTCCTGACTCCAAAGCCAGAACTGTATTCACTGCACCACCAGCTGCCTCTGATTACCCTTATTCTTAAGTACTTTAAAAGAGCGCATGATGGCTAGAGTCAGCACTAGGATTAAGTTCTGCCCAAGGGCCCTGAAGTTTAAAGGGGCCTGGTAGCACTTATATTGTCAGCCGGTAGAAACCACTGAGCCTAGCACTTCTCAGTTGATCAACAAGTATTTATGAAGCATTTACTGTATGCCAAATACTGTGCTAGGGACTAGAAATAAGAAAGAACAAAAAACATTCCCTGCCTTCAAGAAATTTGCATTCTAATGAAGGAGAAAGCACGTCAAGATGTAAATAAATATGTAGAGATGAGATGGATAGATAGATAGACAAATAGACAGACATTGGATGGATAGAATGAATAGACAGGATAGATAGACGAGATAGAGATATAGATAGGCAGACAAATGGACAGGATAGACGGATAGATGGACGGATAGATAAATAGACAGACATAGATGGACTAGATAATTGGACTAGATAAATAGATGGATAGACTAAAGAGATAGGATAGAGAGAGAGAGATAAATAGATAGATAGGATAATAGATAGAGGGCAGATACAAGGCCACCTTAAATGGAAAGGCACTTGTGGTGGGGGAAGGGACTAAGCCTTCTGCCAAAGATGGCATTGGAATGAAGTCTTGAAGGAAGAAGCAGAAGTGAATAAGGAGAACATGCCAGGTTTAGGGATAGACAATCTGTGCAGAGGCCCTCTAGTTAACAAAAATGATTTCTTGAAATACATCTCCCCTTTCCCTCATTTAGTTTTTCCCTGGCTGATATCTAAGGTCTCCTTCCCAACCCACATCCTCTGAACGTATTTTCTGGGGCTTATCTCACATGCCAAAATGGCAGATCATAGCCCCTCCCTACCTTCCTTAGTGGGAGAATTCACAAGTTGCTGTGGCCAAAAAAATTCATCACCTTGTGAATGCCTTTTGGGTTACAAGCCTCTCCACACTAAGCTCTAGGATATTAGAGATTAGTATAGTTTGGTATGGTATGGTATGGTATGGTATAGTGTAGAATACACCTTAGTATACTGTGATATAAACTCTCATTGCCCCAGGCAGTGGTCTAAGACTATAAGTTGGCTCTCTATGCGCTGAGCCATCCTGCCTCTCCTTCACATTTGTGTGTGAAATTATCATATATCATAAGTATATGTCCTCTCAAGGTCACGCCTTCGAAAGACTCTATCCATTTGGACAGCTACATTCTATTATGTTTTTTTGTTGATGCTGCTGCTTTTAAAATCAACCTTCTAGCAGAGGGTCTGTGGGCCTGGATTTTGGGGGGGAAGGGGCAGTTATATTTTGATAACTGCATTTCAGTAGAATTGGTTTCCTTTACAATCCTGTGTACTTTACGTATCAAAAAACACGACTAACAGAAAACATTAAGAACTCTTGGTTGATTGTCATTCCACGTACATCAGCAAATATATTTACACATATAGGTGTTGCATTTAAGTTATTTGTTATATGTTTTATTGGGATTTTCCCCCCTTTCTTCTCTCCCCACAGAAGTGCTTGACATTCAACCCAGCAAAGAGAATTTCGGCTTGTGGTGCATTGTCTCACCCGTATTTCCATGATGTAGAGAAGCCTCATGAGAATGTGGACCCTCGGACATCCCCCAGCCAAAGCAGCAGTGAGGGGAACAGTGCTTGAGGCGACCAACTCTCTAGAGCTGAACTGTTGACTGAGGGGGCTACCTCCTGGGGGAGGCCGAGCGGCCACTGATCACATCTGGGCTTCTGGAGGGTTGGCCTCTCTCTTCTGGATGGCGATCTGTTTCTCCCGGGAAACTGGCCCAGTTTACTGTTTCCAAATCAATGCAAAAGCAATTTTGAGCTTGATGTTTGTGTGTCTGTTCGTTTGTTTGTTCATTCGAAATACCTGGAAAAGCAAGACAAAAAAACACAAAAACACAAAAAAAAAACCTCCAGATGAAGAGAAGCTGCTGACCAGTGTTGCTGCCGTTTCTTTTGTCCAACATCAAATGCTGCCAGAGTGAAGTAGGAATGATCCAGTCACTGCCGATTTCAGATGTAATCTCTCTATAGCTGCTGAAGCCTGATTTGGTACTCTTGAGTGTGTGTAGGGGTGTGTGTGTGTGTGTGTGTGTGTGTGTGTGTGTGTGTGTGTGCGTGCGTGTGTGCATGTATGTATGCGTGTGTGTGCTTGTGATCTCTTAAAGTGTTATTTTTTTAACTACGTAGAATAATTGAATTTTTAGAGGCTGAAGGGAATGGAATACAGATGCATCTATTTACTGAAGAGAAAATACCAGAATTAGAGCTTCTCCAATGAGAAATACGGGCCTGTGTTGACAACATCTCCTTTCTGTTTAAATGCAGTACGTTTACAAGGAGTGAAAGAGTTTATTTCTACCTAGACAAAAGTGGATGCACACTGAAAAATTCATCCATGTCTTTCCAGCTCCCCTGTGATTATCTTTAAGGGAAGTATTTCAAAATATGTAATATCTTCTGCCCTTTTTGGAAAGCTAATTTTATTCAATGCAAATCTGTTTTGATTGTACAACATAATTATTTTTCTCTCAAAACAGGGCCCCAAAATCATTTCCCTACTTATTATTGACTTCAGGAAATGTCCCTCTTTTAAAAAAAAGTAAACAAAAATGGCAAAAAAAGAGAGCCTTTTTTTTCTGGTTTGCAACTTTTAAACATTTTGTAAGGTCTCTATTTTTAAAGCATTTCCTATTTTAGTTGAGAGAATCCTTCTTTTCTAGCTGGTTACAGGAATGCCCTAAGCGTTATCTCTACATGTTAACACTGTACTTTCTATAATGCACTGCCTTACTTGCAAAATGTGTATTGCATATTACCTCCTAGTGCCTATGTACATTACTGCCAGCTGGTTACTTATGTCATTTTACACACTATCTTCATGTGTCAGACACACCTCTTGTTATCTATGGAATAAGATTGCAATTTCATTACCCTAACTCTACCACCTCATTCAGGCCTCAGTGCTCTTCCTCTCAAGGATCGTACATCATGGTCCTGTGCTTTTGTAGCTTAAGGTGATGAGTCGGGTACACATGTCCTTCTATGCCACCAGCAAAAAAAAAAAATGTACAAACCAGTAGAGAAGATGGCTTGAAACTAGAATTTAGTATTTTTACTTTGGTAACACAATCTATTTTCAGTACAGCGTTTGTCTTTTTAAAAGGGCAAAAAGAAAAAAAAACTTTTAACTACTTTTCAGGAATAACTTTCTGCTCTACAAAAGCAAACATTAGGTTTTCTTCCCATTGCGTAGACCATCTTTCCTTAGTGTTTCCTCTTGCTCTTTGGTTCGGGTTAGGGATCCTTTATGAAAGACATTCAGCCTGCTCCTGGTTCTTAGGCTATTGATCCCCTACTACGAATGGAGATCTTTATATTGTGTCTGCTTTTTCCTACTTCTTCATGTTCCTCCACCTTAACCTTGGAGATAGCTGCTGTCATGGCCATGCACCCCCTCAATCTTCTGCTCACTCACACTCCGTTTTCTAGTGACTATTGTCTGATAGCAAGAACATAGCCAACCAACTGTCTTTGGAGAAATAAGGTAGACTCTCACTTTTGCTTTTAGACTCTTGCTTTGAACATATACATCAGTTAAGATTATGTTCAGAGGCAGAATTATTAAAGAATGGATAAATACCAGCCTGTCAGACTGAAAGACAGCATGTCTACTTTTGTGCTTTAGAAAGCATTATAGTATTCTTGAGAAATAACAATATGCAGCTTCTTGGGGTATGCAGATATATCAAACTATAGAAAAAGTAAAGGACATTTGGGTTTGGGGAATCACTTTTTAAAACATAAGATACACACACATACTGGTTTGCTTCAGTGATACAAAGGACGAATTCTCCTTTGAAATAAAGTGAGGCGGCGTCTAGGATTATTTCACATATTTTTCAGTATTTCAACATCAGTAACTGGGTTTTTGGCCATTGGTATTAATCCTTGAAATAAAATTATCTTGAAGGTGGTCTAAATAATACCAAATATGACCAAGAATGGTACACATTTTGCTTTTCTTTGGGGCACTGAGTTAAAACAAAGAGGAGGACCTGTTTTATCCTATCATAAACTTGAATTAGGGAACTTTCTTCCTTGCTACTACATGAGCTTCTAAGTCAGCCTCCATCTAGCCATCTCTTAGGCAAAAGTTTGAGTCACAAAGTTAGCATGAGAAAAAAACACAGGTGTGCTATGTGCTCTTGTGTTTTGTTTTTTCATTGGCTTAGGAAGTTTACTTTTTCTTTCTAGCATTTACTACCATTGACTTCATTTTTTAGTTTTTAATGAGATTTTTTTTAAAAAACACATATTTTGGCCCAACATCCTTCCCAAAATTAGACCCTGGTAACACAAAATAAGATAAAGCAATTCATCTTCTTGTGTTATCCCATCAGTCAGACTTAAACCCTTATCTCTTCTGTTAATTTATATATTGGGCTAGCATGACTCTTTGGTCATTTTGTGCTTATGGTGGTCACCTCCCATATTTGCTGTTTCCTGATTGAGGGTCCACACCAGGCCCTATTGCTTTCAAGGAGAGGTTTTTCCCAAATCCTCCAGAGAAGCACTGGGTTTTTAGTTACTCTTTTGGGAAACATTGTTTCACAGAGCTTTGCTAATGCTAAGAAGCCAGGGACATGTCAGAACTCAAAATACCCATTAAGCCTTATCTAAAAACCCATGTAACAAATTAAAAATACATGGTAGATTTGAAGTTAAGTGAGATGACTTCTTTTGGCCTGGTGAAAGAACCCATGTTTCCCATGTTACAATGGAAGAGAACTATCTAATGTTTTATACTGGGTTGCCACGGCCTTTTGCCAAAAGCTTCTGCAGCAAATTAAAGATAAAATACTGCACAGGGCAGAGTTTTATGGTTAGTCCAGGACAATTACAATGAATCAAAGCCAGGTGTCCAGTCTTTCCTTATGAATTATATGGTATGTCAAAGAGGTAAAAACCTAACCTAAAGGAAACAGGCTCATAGGAAACTAAGGCCAAAGGGGTGGGCGTCTCCCATTTTGTTTCTGCTCTGAAGTCAACGGAAACTTGGGAGTTCAAGGAACAGGAATCTTGTGGGCAGACTCAGCCCCCTCTCCTCTCATAGTTTACTCTTAACAAGCATGCATCTTGGATTTCAGGCCTTCTAGGCCCCCAGGGGGCTCTTACCAGAAAAGATCAGAATTATCCAACCTAAAAATAGAATCTTCCCATCTTGTTAACTTGTAGGACATACCATACTTAAGATCTCTTGTATAAAAAAGGTACAGTATTGCAACTGGGGAAGTCCATTTTTTATCTTGTTTGGTTGGGGTTTTTTTGTTTTGTTCCTTTTTTTATTGAGAAATTTCTCTTTAGTTTGTGACAGAAATGTATCAGTACCTTGCTAAGGAAATTCTTTTAGACATACCAGATATTTTTCTCCTTAAATTATATAGCATTATGGTGCTTGGTTATACACTGTGGACCTTCCACCCAGGTAAATGTTGCATGTGGAGCATAAGAGTGCCAGCATTAGCAATCCCTGTTGCATCACGGAGACAAAATCACGTGAAACTTCCTAACAACATGGCACACATTAAAATTCAGCTTACCAAGGACAGCATATTTCCTTTTCCTTCTTGGAAGATTCCAGTATTTTTGTATCAAACATGCCAGACCGCGTATCTTCAATTTCTCTCCAAAGTGTAGCCCTTGAGGTTACATCGAGTATATCAAAACTCAGAAGCCGTTAGATTGTTTGATGTGGCAGGCGATGCTTAGAGAGGCCACTGTTGTTAGCCATTTGGGGTCATTCTTTCTCACAAAAGGAATGAACCTTGGGAAGAAAATGTTGTTATAGAATCTTAGCTACTGAAGGATTCTTTAGAAGAGTGAAACCTTTAAATTGAGAGATAAATAAGATGTCATTTGTTTAAACACTTTTGTAAAAAGGTGAGTTATAAAAACAATGGAGAAGGTTAGAGGAAGTTCAGAAGAAAAAAGGAAAGTATCCAGAGGCCATGTTTGTATCAAAGAATACATATTGTTAACATATTTTGTAAGAATAAATTAAAATTCCAATGGGAACCCTGAATTCAGTATACTCTAAAGAACTTCTTGGAGAAACTGATCCTAGGTTCCCAGATGTTCAGTTTTTATCATAGTTAACTTCATTTATTAGTTGAGTAAAATGAGGCAGCCTGTAATTTCGTGGCTCCTCCCCAAAAAAAGTTCAAACTAAGCTTGTGGCTCATAATTTAAAATGTTAATTGTAGGGTGGAATGACAATCCCATGGAAAAAAAGATGTTTTGCACACATACCACTGAGTCAAAAATCAGAAACCTTTCCATTTCTCAGCATGTACAGTTGAAACCATTCACCAGAGCACTGAAGCATTGTATTGATAAACTTAAAGTCTACAGGATTAACTCATCCCCAAATAGCCCTAACTACAATTTGAATATGGACAGCCTTTAGTAGCTTCTGAAGTGGGAATATCTTCAATAGACCAGCAGTAATTGTGTTCCTTCTTAAAAGGGCAAGAAAATAATGATCATTTTCAAAATGGAGTGTTCCATTTGCCTACCCATGTTCTTGTTGAATAAGTCATCCATGCTACAGTAGATTTTTCAGCCTGTTAGCTTAGATCTATATCTAGGTCTTTCCTAACTGGCTGGTATATATGCTACAAAAATGATAACAATAATAATAATAATAATAAAACTTCTGCATCTTTGGCAAACTGTAAAAAGTAGGATCAGACTTGTAAATGGCATTATTTCCTCTCAGTCTAGTTTGGATTCTTAGGGATCATCATTCAGCTTTTCAAAGGGGTTGTCTTTTTATTCCTTTTCAGTGAATTCAAGGAGAAAAAAAAATTAATGGAATAGCATCAGCACACTAATATTTCTTTCTTGGGTCTTTGGTTCGTCAGAGCTGCCTAACTAAATGGTAGCTGAAAATCCATCCCAGCATGTCTTTAGAACTTTGTGTGTATGTGTGTGATTTTGATTAGTCCATGATTTCCTTGGAGTGAATACAATCTAGTCTACACCTTCTGATCTTCTTAATTCTCATCCATTCTTCCCTTAAATTTAACTGACATGTCTTCTGTGTCCTTATTAGACACAAATTCCACTGGCAACCTACAGCAGCTTAATTATACTTACCATTAATTAATGATAATTAAGTTATCATCTTAATTTCTTGGTCATCACAGTATTCTGTGATTCACAACCATCCAGAACCACTAGGAGAATGTTAGTATAACCTTAGCAGTTTTGAAGAGAGCATGGGGGGGTATGAAAGGAAAGGGAAAATGTTCTTGTTTTGTTTCCTATAGACTGACACTAAGAGGTATGAGATTATTCATTTTGTACTAGCATATACTCCAACATGTCACTTCGGGGGAAAAAAATCTGGGAAATTCTAAGACTATAAATAAGCTTTTAAACACTGTCCTCTGGACTCCAATCTTGGTTTCATTTAATTTTTATCTGGTATTTGTTTTTCAAGATAAATAAAATGTTTGAAATCACCCAGAAATGGGTGGGGAGTTCTCAGTTACTTGTATAACTATAAATTACACTTAGAAAATATTCCTTCTTTGGTCATTTAAGAGAGAGACCTTCCAGGTCATCTCTATGCCAGTGGGTATTTGTTAATAAAAGAAGGAGCTCCCCACAGCACAGGCTGACTTTGATGATAATTTAGCACTCTGCCCATTCCTCTTGAGAGAGAGATATGCATTTTAAATTCAGTACTTTCACATTCCTTGCTGTTAGGTAGCTACATGAAGGCACATCACCCTGAAGAAAGAGGGGCATATGGGTGATCAGATCATGCAACAAAGTAATATATAAAACTATTTTTATAGCATTACTGTCCCATATGAGAGAAATCCCTCAAATATATTGGACAATAAACAATTTTTGCATTGCAGTATTCCAATTAGAATGTACAGAACTAGGGAGAAATATGAGATAGTTCATTTTCTAATCTATAATCTGTGAACATAATTTAGGAATTTGTCTACTCTGACATATACTGGTTCTGTGACCCTACAGGTCATTTGTTTCCTCTGTGCCCCAAGAAACTAACTAAAGCTTTTAAGTTGTAGAATTGCTACTAATTTGCATTGGTCAAGGAAAGTTCTTCCCAAGAGCAAGCACATGGGTGAAATCACAGATCCTAGATTGGAGTGGATCTGTGATTCATATATATGTGGTACACAGGCAGGTAGATAGTTACACACATAGATTATATGTAATATAGATTATGTATGTATGTGTATGATTACTCTTTCCCAAATTGTACCTGAGAATATAATTTTAGAAACACTGAATTTTTTGAGAAGAAAAGTTATTTTTTAAAAATTTGACTTTAAAGCAAAGAAATAACTCAGCACTGGCACAAAAATCCATTATGGCACATATGCTCCAAAATTAGTTCATCTTCCCCAGCAAGATCAGTTTAAATGCAGAAAAGCAATTGTACTGACTTTCAGGATTTCCAGCCATTGCTTAAGTTCACAACTCTTGAACATGACCCAATCAAAAGCCATTTTTTGTTCATTTTCCTTCATAGGAATTAAAATAAGGTAATGTCTTTTTAATACTCCTTGGGAAGTATTCTACATATGTCTTCCTTTCAAGTGTTTCTGATCTTCTGTAGGTGACAGACTTAAAGGACTGTTCAAAATCCACCATAGTGTGGTGGATTTCCAGTTTCAATTCCAAAATGAAAGACCAAGGGAATATCCTTAGCTTATCCAAAGCAGATAAGGAAGTGGTCTAGGTCAGTTCTGAGCATCCAAAAGTGGCTTCCACCTCAAAGGTGCTTATAGCTTATTAAGGAGCTTATTGCTTATTAAGATGCATTTGTTGGCCATCTTAGTGGAGAAGTCAGTGTCTAGGCCTGACTAGAAATTAGACCAACCTCCCATTCATCTGTTTGAAAAAAGTCCAGCCTGAGCAAAATACCATGGGTGCTGTTTCTGCCTCAGAAGCAACTATTGGGCAATGTTTGGGAAAGAAAAGCTATCGGACAGTGTTTAAGAAAGAAAATCCTCCTCAGACTCCAAAGAGTATCTCCACAAAATTTATGCAAAGATTACTTTGAAGAGGTGTGGTTACTGCAACTCTGCCCAAGGTTTGTTAGTCTGGGAACAGCAAGTCTACAAACTGAGCTTGCTTCCCACTCCCCCAAGAGAAAATGGCTAATTATAAGAAAGCTAGATTTCTTTTCACCATTCTCTATTTAGATGGCTCTTGCTTAACTATAAAAGATGGCCCCAGAAGACCTGTTCATAGATCATCTTTATTTCTGCTTGCTCCTTAACTGGCCATGACATATAACAAGTGATTTTTGCTTCTCTTCTTTCTCTTCTCTGTCCATGTCCAATAGTTAAGTATCTTTAAATGAATGTTTAACTACCTTGCTATATTCTTATGTACCTGAACTTTGTGGTGAATCACCAGGGGAAGATTCACATTGTTTGATAAATGGATTTTCTTAAAAGAATCCACCATTATTTCATTCCTAAACTATTCTGTTGTTTTTCTATAGTATCTATCTATTATCTTAGGTAAATGTTCTGAAGATCCTCTTTGTGCCCTTGGTTGGAAGCCCCTAGTCCTTTAAAAATATTCACTATGTTACCAGAAGCATCAATATTTCAGTGATCCCAAAGCACTTTGAATTTGACTTGACATTTCAAAATAATAAAACCTGGTTTCCCAGGTCACTCTGTGGCAATGACTACATTGCTCATACTCCTGAATCCATCCCAGATTTCATTTCCACTCTCAAACCTGGGTTTTCGATGATGTGTACCCATATATATCAATAGGCCTTTATTTGCATGTATTCATGCATCTTGCTGTAATGAGTAATAAGTGTCCTAGTGAATCCATAGAACTCTAGGACCGACTGCCCACCTGTGGGCAGTATTTTCTAAAAGCTATTCAGCATTCAGAAAGGTATTTCTACTATCAATCTTTGTTGTTATTTATTTCTGGATTATACTTGTCATGTGAAAATACAGCTGGAGACAGAAAACCTTAAAGCTTTCTCTTTTATACTTCATGTGCATTTAATGTTAATTACCATTATCAAAGGGGCACCTAATCTAGGTGGAAAGAACTTAGAACTAAGTGCCTGAGTAAGCTGCATACCTTTGCATTAGATAAGTAAAATGGACTTGGTTGGATAGAGCATTTTACGCCTGAGTTTCCTTTCTCAGATCGGCAAAGGAATTAACAAAAAGGACTTTGAAATGTTTTTGCTGTCAACTTTACATATAGCATAATGTTAAAAAAAAAAAAAGTCAAAAAACAAAAACTCAAGTTAGAAAACCATCCCAGGTGCTGCCTTAATTTAGGAGCTTCCCTAGATTGCCATCTGAGAAAATGCCAATTGGGGACAGATGCTTAAGTTGGTGCCTTAGTTTGCCTGGGTTTATGGGAAACGCCTTCAGAATCATAAAGTGCCCTTGTATGTGTTAATGGAAACAGATAATATTGTTGACAGAAAGAGCCCTGGGTGAGGCTACTGCAGAAGAAGTTTCCATATGTGATGGATATTGTGTCTTAGGGTTTCTGGAATGTTTCAGAGAACAGAAGGTCTAAGTTTCAAGGTCTTAGAGAACTCGGATTTGTACAGAGGTAGTTGTCTTTGGTTATTAAGAAGACAAGGATTGCAAGTGGAATGATGTTCAACCAGAATTTGGCAACTTGTAATACCCAACATTTCAGTAACTTGAGAGATTTCTAGCATTTCATTTTTGATCTAAAAGTTTGAAAAGCATGCTTTTTAGTTTAGAGATACAGTATGTGATAAGAGAAGCACAATATTGGTACCCATGAGAGTACCAGCACTAGAGATTTTTATAGGATATTTGTTCTGAGATGTGTAGAAATACATTTATACTGTAAAATATATTTGGGGTTTGGGTTATTTTGTTTTTACAGTTCCACAAGGCATAATCAAAACTATTTTTTCAGGGTTATAATACTGTAGGTCACACACCTAAGCTTATTTTTTTTTCAGTGTATTCTGATCATAGATAATATTGTAAATGTTGAAAAAAATTCTGGGATTATACACTTGAATCGTTGGTTTCTGTGTTTGAAATTGAGGTTATTCTGGTGATGTCTGGGGCAGGGGTCCTGCTTGCCAGAAGAGACTTCTCTAATCCCCTGCCTGACCCGCTGCTTAGCCAATGCCTACCACCCTGCCAATCGGGCAATCCTGTATCTCTTTCTCCATCTATTCCTGCCACTGTTCTGGGCATCCTTCATGCCCCTTTCCTGTGCTTCCCACCATTGTCTTGGGCTACCCACAGAGCTGGCTCTTCCTTATTTACTTCTGCCCCTGCTCAGGTAGCAGGGGCCCAGTTAAGAGGTGCTTTTGAATGCCATGCTTGGTTGTGGACATGCCTTCTATGCCCTGCTTCCATCCTCCTAACCCCTCTGACCTTGTACAGCAGCCCAAAGAAGGTTCCCAATTCTTGGTCCAGGATATATGAATCTAAGGTTGATAACATACTCCAATGACTTTCCCGCATCCTCTATTTAAAATCAAATTATTTCATTAAAATGCCCAATTTGACTTTTGCTCCAAGATGAAGACTTCCCTAAGGGTGCAAATCATACATTCCAAGCTGCTTTTTCTACTGATTCACAGGCTATCCTTTCACAATATTTCTTCATACTTGAAATTCATTCTGCTATTTTAATATCAGGGTACAAACATGTTAAAGGTGCGTGTATTACTGTTCCTTCAAAAGGTGCATAATTTTTTTTCATTCAGTGTGCTTAATAATTGCTATTAAGTGGCTCTATTTTTGGTGCTTTTGGTTTAGCTGTTAAAAGAAGAGGTGCATGAAGATGCCTTGCCTGGAACATAACTTTACTCTAGATTTAGCTGTTTTATCATTTTCTCATGCTGACTTATCCCTTCTCTGTCCCTGGGTACAGAGATGCGGAAAGGGGAGCCCTGACAGGAGGCTCTATGTGTTAGGACCACTGTGGTGCCTTCTTTACTCAGGCTAAGCATGGCTGCAGCATTGGTTTGGGGGAAACCCTTCCCCTCATGCATAGCTGAGCTGTGTAACCCTTCAAGATAGAATGGCCCAGGCCACAGATAGGAAGGGGAAGAGTAGGAAGGAGCTACAACTATAGCACAGCTGTGACATTCCCCTTTCTGGTATATTTACCTTGGACAGCTCCTAGGAGGGGAAGTACTCTCTTTGAAAGAACATTCCTTCCTTATGGCAACCCAAGTGGAAAGCTCTGGCCTTCCCCTCTCTAGGCATTTGGAGATATAGGTCAGCTTATCTGTAGTCTTCCTGGCCTGCGAGGAAAGAGAAGAGATGGCATTTATTGTTCAATGGAATGTAATACCCAAGAACTACAGAAAGCAAACTGTAGTATATAAAACTCAGTGCACCCTCATATGAATCTTTGTTTCAAAATCAGCCTAAGTTTGGGTTCCTTTACCTTGGTTCTTCTGATCTAATATACCCTTTCTAGCATGTGCCTTACCATAAGGGATTCATTGTTTTATTTCTCTAGAACAGTTTATGGAGAGGAGAGAATGGAGTTCAGGAGTAGCCACATATTAGTGGTCACAAATGTTGAAAAACGGGCAGAAAAAAGTTCAAAGGGTCACAGATATGGGATTAGATAAGACTTATTTTATCAGAGAAGTAAGTAGTCCTTTAGAACTGGATGTCTTACTGCTGGCAGTGCTAGAAAGCCAAGTTATGTATTTATTGTCAAATGATGAGGTTCATTGTTTTTTTAAAAAATCAATATTGGAATGTCATTGTCAGATTAATGTTTTCAGTTATGCACAAAGTAATTTGAAATAAAAGAGAAGTAGTTTGTATATTTATCATCCCATACATACAGTTTCTTTCAATAAAAGTACTGATAGCAAATAAAAATAACAAAAACAGCAATATTTTTAAACTGCTTTCTCAAAAATTCGCTGTCTTAACTATATTTTTCTTTTATTTTGATGTAAGATGAGTACAGTCACAGTAAGTACTGAATAAATACAAATTTTGGCAAAATGTGTTTCACACATTTCTTTTGAATGAATTCTGTCCTTGCAGCAAAAATAAGGAATAAAGTGAATAGTAGATCTTCATCTCAGTTGGTTGATGAATCATTATTTACCCATTTCTTTTATCCATCTAAGTTTAGAATGGAAAGTGAGTGGTAAGTGTGAGATTAATTGTCAAGAGATGGGGAAAAGAAAGGTGAGTAAATAATCTGGGAGGACAGTGTCCTATGGGAGCTTTCTGGCATCTGAAATTGCTACTGAGAGAAGTTAGAGAAGGAAAGTTCTTGCTGCCCTGTAATGCTTCCCTTGCTAAATAAGCGTCTTCAGAATGTAAAACTGACTTCATAAAGGATCAAATAATTAGAGCTGGAAGGAGCCTTAGTGGTTATGGGGTCTAAGCCCCTCCATTTTACAGATGAAGAAACAAGCCCATACATGTTAAGGGATCAGCTCAGGGTCAGATAGCTAGCAAGTGCCTGAGTTAAGATCCTAACCCAGGTCTTCCAAACTCCAGGTCCAGTCTACCATACCACATCGCTTCCAGTGTTTTCTCTATTTTTGTATTTTACATAACTAAAGGGTGGTTCCTAAAACTGTCCAGAGCTAGAGCCCTCCCTATATGTTTGCCATCAAGGAGCACAGCTATAATTTCCTCAAGTATAAATACCATTTTAAATTCTAAATAGCCTTCAAATTAAATGTGTCATTCAGGACAGCTAATACTACTCGCAAAGCCACTGAAAGTAGACAGTCAAGACTATGAAGAGCTTTGGTGACTGAAAAATAATAGAGTATTTAGAAATCAAGCATGAGTTAGTGAGTAGTCTGTAGGAAAATGGCGCTTAAGAAGCATAGAGGCAATATGTTGAGAAAGGATATAAGGAAATCACCCTACAAGTCCATTTAATATTCTTTATTGAGTTCTGACTGTAAGAAAAAAAAGCCCAGTTTGCCATGTGAGACAGGAAATGAGACAGATAAGCATTCCACTTCAGAGTTAATTATGGTAAATAATAAAGGAAAAATTATCCCCATAGCCTTTCAGGAAGAAACAGGAGACATAGGAGAGTAGGTGAGGTGGTAAAGGAAAGTAATGAACAGAGTGGAAAGAAAGGAGGAAATCTTGATTCAGGTGTGGGAGGGCACCCACTGAAAAATGCTCCCATGAAGAAAGGAAGATAAGTTCTATGAGGAGAGATGGGGTTCTTAACTGGATGTAATTTGTAGAGACCACTGCCTTTAAGAGAATGTTTTGCCACCATGGACAGCATCATGCCTCAGGTGAAGGGAAATCAGAGGTTCTGGGGACAACTAATAGCTAGAAGTATGGGTGGACAAGGACACAAAGGGAGATTCCACAGCAAGGGGGGCAGAATGATCATGGGAAAAGAAGAGGGTTGTAATGAATTACACAATTAAGGACACGGGAAAATTTGTACCATGGGTCAATAATTCTATTTTCTCTATCTCCTGCAGGAATAGAAGATATAGACAGTAATACAATAGTGTCCTTTCAGTTTTGGACAAATCTAATAGAAATATAAACAAAAGGAACAATATAGAATTGAACAAATTGTGGAAGAAAGTAGAGTGAAAAAACATGGTGTCTTCCATGTGGGACAGCTAAAACAATAAACTTTTTGGCACCACGTAGAATTTTTGTGAAAACTAATTGTAAGTCCAGAGACATTGTGAATAAGTATAAAAAGGCATGGGAGTCCTCTACAGACCATAATGCAAAAAAAAAATAGTCATTAATTCGGGGGGGGGGGAGAAGACAAAAGACAGACCCAAATGAAAACTTAATGGTGAAATCCTAAATGATGAATGAGTCAAAGAATACATCAATAAATCAAAGAAGCAAATAGTAATTATGTAAAAGAAAGTGATAATGATGAAACTATCAAAATTTCTTGATTGTAGATAAAAAAATCCCTAAGGAATTATATCCTTAAAAAATACATTAACAAAAGAGAAAACAGGAGTACTATTGAACTGAATGTGCCAACAAATGAAAAAAGCACAAGAGAGGAGATATTGAAAAAGAGAGGAGCAACAAAATGGAAATTAAAAAGAATATAGAAATGATGAACTAAAAGCTGGCTCAATTTGATTAAAAAGAGAATGGATAATCAAATCTCCAGTGAGCAAAATGAGATCACAACAAAACCAAAAGAAATAAAAAGGATTATCAGAACTTACAGTACACAATTACATACTAACAAATCTGGGAACACAAAAGGAAGAAATAACTTCAAAAAAAGAAAATACCCAAGCTCACAGAAGACCAAACAGGGATCTTAAATAATCTGATTTCCGGGGGGAAAAAATAGAACTAGTTGTAAATAAACTACCAAAGGCGGGGGCGGGGGGGAGCGGGGTAAATCTAGTCCTACTATATTAGCAATTCTCTCAACTGTTAAAGAAATTAATACCAATACTACACAAATTGTTTTCAAAAAATGAGAACTAAAGCACTTTACCAGACTACTTTTATGAGGCAAAGACAGTCCTAATACTAATAGGATAATGGTTTATATAAAAAATCCTAGAGAATCAGCAAAGATACTGCTTGAGACAAGATCCACCAAATTTTCAGACTTAAAAAAATACTCGTGAAAAACTACAGCACTTCTATATAATAATAACAGAATCCAAGAGGCAATAATAGGAAGAGATATACCATTCTTATGAATAACCTCAAAGTGCATAAAATATTTTGGCATCAATCAACTGAAGTACACAAAATAATTGTATAGATTCAATTACAAAATGAGATATCTGTAAAGCACTTAGCACAGTGTCTGGCACATAGTAGGTGCTTAATGTTGATTGATTATGACATTTGATAGCCCAAACTCTCACTTGTGTCCATCTAAGGACAACTAAAATATGTGAGTAGGGGGGAGTGGGAGAGAATCAGTTTTTAAACAGGAAGAGAATGCAGTCAATCCCAAACATTTGTGAAGCAACAGCTGCGCCCTCACATAGGGAGAATGTTGTGTGGCTTGAAGGGAGGCAGAATAGACATCTCTAGCCTCTTCTCCTTCTCCCCCACCCCCTTTTCGCAAGGAAGACTCTAATTCCTGCCAGCAGGAGAAGCAGGAGTTTAGGGCCAGAAGCTTGGCCACTCTACTCTCCTCAAAGAAAGGGAGTACCAGGCTAGAATTATATCTATCTGCTCCTTTAAATGTTACTAGCCCAGGATATGAGGATTTTAGATTCAAGCTAAACTTCTGTTGCTGCCTTTTTTAATGGGAAGAAGAGCAGGATCCCCAAGCTTTATACCCAAGGCTTGAGTCCCTTACCACCAAATTTTACTTCCATTATGAACACCCATGGGAATTAGCAAAGAAACACATTTATCCAAGTTGATAACCAAACAGAAATAAGAGAAAGTAGATATAGGAAAACAGATACCAGACAATACAGAATGAAGGATCTCTTCCACTGGCAATGAGGTAACTCAGCTCAACCAAGAGGGAGTCCTAGATCTCACCCAAGAGGAAGTTCCCCAAAGTCTCTGGCATAGCAAGACAAGGATAGGGACGTGATGGAAGCTGTCAGCTCCTCTCACATCTGCTTTTTCCCAGAGCCTTATTTTCTCAATAGCAACCTGAAGTGGGGTTGGCATCAAGCACCTTCTCTCTCAAAATGGAAGCCAGAAGCACCCAAAGTGAGAAGAGACGTCAAGAGCCCCGAGACTAAAAAGACCAAAACTCTTCTCTCTGCAGCTCTTGCCAACTCCACCCCACCCCTTATACAGGCTTAGGGCATTGATCTCCACCAATGAGTAGAGAGTCCCCTACCAATGGGCTTTGGTTTGTTTTATCTTCCAGATCACATTCATATTATGATGTGTGTATTTGAATGTTGGACCCTATCTCCATCACCCACCTGCCCAGTCAGTATTAATACTTTTCTGCCAAACATCATGTAAATGTCATTCAATCTTAGGGTAACAACTTTGACCCTTTTTTGTAGGATCTATCACTATTCATGACTCTGCTCTTTGGCTCATGTGGTTATAGTCTGTCTGTGGCTCTCACCATGTTGCATTTACCTAATTCAATTCAACAGACATTTTAAGTGCCTTCCACAGGCAAGGCTTTCTAACATAATGATGAAAAGAAGGATACAGACCCTGACCTGAAGGAGCTTCAACTTTAGTTGGGGGGGGGGGAACCAGAGGAATAAAACATGAACATAAATAACTATAAAATGATAGAGATTACGACAGAGACAAAAGGGATCCACATGAGATGCTCTGAGAAGGGAGAGATCACTTTCCACTGGGGGATCAAGAAGGGCTCCATCTAATTGGAACTAGGTCTTGAAGCAAGAGAAAGCTTTCAGCAGGTAGAGAAGTGGAGGGCATGTAATGTGGGGCCAGAAGAGGATGAAGGAATTGAAGGAGGTTGCAAAAGAACCTACAAACTTGGGAAAAGAACTAGGAGAGGAAGGATTTCATTATGGCAGCCAGAATTGCATATTGAGGGCTCAACAGGATCAAATGTTGACCAAAAGCATCCAGGTAAGCTTTTTCATTCACTTCATCTATTCAACAAGGAGGGGAAATCAAGCTTTTGGGGAGTTTTTCATACCTAGCCATGCAAGACTTTTAAAATGAAGAACTGGGTTTTCCAGTTAGTTTGATTAACCTCTCAAGACATAACTACATCCTGTAACAGAATCTTAGCGAACCTCTCTGATGAAATTAAACAAACTATAAAAATGACTAGAGCATATAGGTTAAAGAGGGTAAGACTAAAAAAAATTAGACAGTATAGTAAAAGTAATTTTTTCCTATAATTCCAATTTCTTTTCATATCTCATTATTTCATAAATGAAGGCTGGCAACAGTACCATAGTATCTGAGGAATTCACACATACTCAATGTAAATGTGCACATATGTATGTGGTGGTAGCCCAAGGGAATTATACTTCCCACAGGGTTAGGAAATGTACTTTCTATTCACATAAGAAGGTAAATGTTTCTTCTTCCTTCCTTCCTTTCTTCCTTTCTTTCCTTCTTCATTTCTTTCTTCCTTTCATTCCTTCTTTCTCTTTCTTCCTTTTTTCCTTCTCTCCTTTCTTCCTTTCTTTCTTTCTTTCTTTCTTTCTTTCTTTCTTTCACCAGTCCAAGGAAGGTCAGACCAACAAAATCAAGGAAAACTATAGTCAGCACAGAATCTCCGAGTTAGAAGAGACCTGAGGTTATTTAGTCCAACCATAGGCACACATAGAACTTGGGGCAGGTATGTTGTTATGCAGTCATTTTTTCAGTTGTGTCCAACTCCTGACCCCATTCAGGTCACATGACCCATTGCATTTGGGACTTTCTTGGCAAAGGTGCTGGAGTGGTTTGCCATTTCCTTCTGCAGGAAACTGAGGCAAACAAGGTTAAGTAGCTTGCCCAGGGTCACGCAGCTTATTAGTGTCTGAAGCCAGATTTGAACTCAGGAAGGTGAGTCTTCCTGACTGTAGGCCCGGTGCTCTATCCACTGAACCACCTAGCTGCCCATAGAGCAGGTATGCACATTTATTGATCCAATCCTGATAATAAATAGGAATCCTATCTATATCCCCAGCAGTCAATCAACGAGCTTTTCTTAAATGACTACCGTATACCAGGTACTGAACTAGGTGTTGGGGCTACAAGTAAAAAATATAAAACAGTCCCTGCCCTCAAATAGCTTACATCCTAATGGGAGAAATAACTTATAAGCAAGGGTGTGCTGGAATCACCTTGGACCAATTCACAAGAGCCAACTGTCACAATTTCAGTGTGAGCATTTACGTTACCTGAGAAATCAGTAAATGCTGCAAATCAAGCTTCATTTGTTGTTTTGCTGATTTCATCTAGACTTAAGAAAATGATGGAAAAAATGTTAATAAATGCAGACCAAACTAAAAAGTGTGTCTAACATACCTTTTTTTCCCCAGAGACCCTGTTGTTAAATATTTATCAGAACAACATTGCCTATGTGTAAATAAAAATATATATGATGAGGAGCATGGGGTCTCTAGGCACATTGGGGGAGGCAGAGTGGTGGACTCAGTGTCGTAGTAACAATAACTACCCCCACACTAGCTATTTCCTGACGTTCTGCAACCTGGAGAAAGTAGGCTAAGCATTTTAATTAAAATGTTTAAATGCTTAAATAAAAATGATTCACCAGCAAGAGCATGTAGTATACAATTTGGCCAGCAGGTGGCACTACTTTTAACCAGCCAAGTGGTTTCTTGAGGGGCACGAGGTGCCCAGGCACTAGCTTTCCCAAAAGCCATAGTATTCCCATTACCCATGAGAGGACATTCAGCCTATAAATTCTTCCATGTGCCAGGCATCATGCTTAGTGCTAGGGATACAGTTTCATATGTGTGTGTGTGTGTATGTGTGTGTGTGTGTATATTATATATGTATATATATGTGTGTGTGTATATGTATGTATATATACATACATATATACACACATACAGACATATATACATACATATATACACATATAGACATATATACACATACATATGTATACATATATATATATATATATATATATATATATATATATATATATATCTGCATATCACCAGCATGGCCACTTCAGCCTAGACTATTGCAAAAACCTCCTACATACATATATACACACATACAGACATATATACATACATATATACACATATAGACATATATACACATACATATGTATACATATATATATATAATATATATATATATATATATATATATATCTGCATATCACCAGCATGGCCACTTCAGCCTAGACTATTGCAAAAACCTCCTAATTAGTCTCCTTGCCTCATTTCTTTCCTCTTTCTAATCCATCCTAAACACAGCTGCCAATTGATACTCTTATAACATAAGTCTGACTGTGAGGGAGTATTCATATACGTCTACATATGGGTATATTGTCTCCCCAATTAGAATATAAGCTTCTCGAAGGCCAGGACTGTTTCGATTTAGTCTCTGAATCTCTGGTGCCACACACAGAACAGGTGCTCAATAGATGCTTGTTGATTCATTGCTTCAGAAGTAAGTGCAATTAATTAGGGAAAAATAAGAGCATGCATCAGAATGAGAGCCGGGAGAATTCCAAGAGTCCAGGGGTTCTTCCCTTGGCAACCACAGATTTCAGAGACGGGATCCAGGATTCAAAAAAAAAATTTGATAGCTGTATTTCAGTGTAATTGGTCTTCTTTGTAATCCTATGTATTTTTGTTCATTCCTTTAAAAACATTATTCTGAAAGGTTTTACCAGAAGGGGTCCATGACAAAAATAAAAAATTAAGAACCTCTGATCTAGACCAATCCCATTATTTTATAAACAAGTAAATCTGAAGCCTAAAGCTTTGCCATGACTTGTGCAAAGTCATGTGAAGGTTGGGCCTATCTCTAAAGCCTCTTCCAACCCTAAAGTTTACTATTCCCTGCAGTTCAGTCCAGAGGACATTATGTACTGAGGCCTTTCTCTGGGCCTCAGTCTCTCCATCTCTAAAATGAAAGAACTTCATTGATGTCTCATCCATTTCTAAATCTTATGATTTTCCTTACGGCAGTTGGGTAGAGCTCTGCACCTGGAGTCAGGAAGACCTGAATCCAAATGTGGTCTCAGACACTTACTAGCTGTGTGACCCTGGGCAAGTTACTTAACCTTGTTTTCCTCAGTTTCTCATCTGTAAAATGAGCTAGAGAAGGAAATGGCAAACCATTCCAGGATCTGTGCCAAGAAAAGCCCCATCGGGGTCACAAAGAATCAGACACAGCTGAAACAACGGAAGGACAGACTGCAAAACATGCTGCAGTTTAGAGCAAAAAGGGAGAGGTCAGCACTCTGTCTGTCCCTAGTTTAGCCTATTGCAATAGCCTTCTGATTGGTCTTCCTGCCTCATGCCTGTCCCCACTACAAATCTCTCTTCCATTCAGCTACCAAAGTGATTTTCCTAAAGCACATTGGCTCTCTATTACCTTCAGGATCACATATAAAAACCTCTGTCATTTAAAGTCCTTCCTTGCCAGACTCCTTACACTTTATTCCCCCTCCATGTACAGTTATAATCCAGAGACACTAGACTTTCTCCATCTCCCATCTCCTGCCCTTTCCACTGGCCGTACCCCATGCCAGGAGTGCTCTTCTAACTGTTACATTTGACTTAGTGCCCCGTAGCTTCCTTCAAAATACAGCTCAAATCCCACTTTCTGCAGATCCCCCTCCACTCACACTCTCTCCCAGCTGCTAGTGCCTTGCCCCTTGGGATCACCTGCATGCACCTGGCAATTTTCGTGTTTTATTTCCGCCCCACTCCCACCTGCGCTTCAGTGAGCTCCTGAATGACCGGGGCTGTCTTTCTCTGTATATTTAGCACTTGGAATAGCACTTAAAAAGTGCTCAAGCATCGAATGAATGAATGAACTAATGGACGGATGGACGGATGAAAGGAGGGAGGGAGGGAGGAACGCCAGACACCCTGGGAAGAGGTGGGGGCAGCCCGAAGGGGAGAGGCCGAGGCGCAGGCGCAGAAGGCGGGAGCGGAGCTCCAGCAGGCCCCACTTCCCGCCGGCCCGCAGGGGGCGCTGTGTCGGCGGAGCCGCCTCCTGGACGCTGCGCGGCGCCCCTCGCCGCGGGCGCTCGGGTAGAAAAGGAGGAGGAGCAGCCGCTGCCGCCGGAGTCGCCCGACCTCCGTCGCCCCTCAGTTTTCTCGGCCAAGCAGCAGCTCGGGCAGCTGCCGGGCACCATGGGCAAGAGGGACAACCGGGTGGTAAGTGTCCCAACCAGCGGGAAGGAAGCGGCCTCCGCGCAGCGGCCCGGCTCCCTCGGCGGCCGTGCGGCCCTCCGGCCCGGCCCGGCCGGCCTTCCCCATGGGACCTCGGCCTTTGCTTTACCCAACGCCCGCGGCCCCTCGTGGCGTGGCTGGGCCTGGAGTCGGAGAGGGAGGCCCGAAAGCGCTTCCTAGGCCTCAGGGAGAAGGAAGCCCCGCGGGCCGGGCCTGCTGCTGCTGCCCCGCCTCCCCTCCGGCCTCCCCTTCGCTCAGCTCCCCCGCTTTCTCCTCCCTGTGTTAGAACAGAAGCTCCCGGAGGGTCGGGCTGCGCAGCCCTCTGCGCCGTCTCTTTGCCCCCTGCGGGTCTCCCCGTCTTGGGGGCGTCGGCTGGCCTCTGTTTCCTGGGAGCTGGAGCTGCTGTAGCGGCGTCTGCGGGCTTGGGGCCGAAGCCCGGCCGGGCTTCGTGTTCGCTCCCCGGGAAGGCCCTTCCCTTCGAGAGCTTTGTTAAGTTCAAGCCCTAGGAAGAGGGGAGCGGTCTCCCAGGGCAGCCCAGACCGGCTCTTAAAAGGGGGTCTGGGAACGCGCCCTTCTTAAAAAATAATAACAATATTTCAGTGTGATTTGGCTTCCTTTGTAATCCTGTGTGTTTTCTTTTTTTAATTTTATAGCATTCTTCACTAACTTACCAAAGGGCTAACTCAACAAAGGTTAAGAACTGAGGCTCAAAAGTTGCAAGCAGGTGTTTGTTATTCTGGTAGAGGGACACAGAGTGGAATCACGGGGTCTGACCAAAAAAAAAAAAAAAGCCTTCCAATCAGCCCTATTTTTTTTAGGCTCTTGGATGACCACTTCTCGTGCTGTTGCTAGTCCTGTTTGCACAGAATTCTGGTAATGTTTTGCACGGGGAAAAGTGTATTTTAATGTGGAATTGGGAAGGAGCCATAAGGATCACCTGGGCTAGATTCCAGCCCAACGCCTTCCTTTTAAGGCTAAGGAAACTGGAGCCCGGAGAGGTTTAACTTAGCAGGAAAACGGTTAAATGGAAGGAACTTTGGAACTGGAGAGATATTAAATGGCATTAACATAAAGCTTACCTTAAAATGTTTTACTTGGAGCATCTCCTTTGAGCCTCTGGATAACCTCATAAAGAAGATATAATGGGTATTGTCTCCATTATGAAATTAAAGAACCTGAGGCTTCCCAAGACAGCTACCAAGTATTGAAACAAGTAGAATTTGAACCAAAGTCTTCCCATCTCCAAGCCACCATCCCTGACTCCGCTACTTTGTCATCTCCCTCAGTTTAGGATGACCTCCAAAGTCCCTTCCAGCTCTCAGTGGTATGTCATATCATGGTCATGTCATCAACTCTATGCCAAGGTCACTGAGCTAGTGAATGGCAGAGCCAGATCTAGACCACTGCTTTTCCTTGCTCCCAGGCCTGTGCACTCTGTACGGTGCTGTACCACTAATGTTGATTCTGAAGTTTAAAAAAAAAACCCACCTTTCTACCTGGAAAAACTGGCATTTTCTGAAACTGACTTAAAAGCAATTTTAATACTTTTAGTGAATATCTTCCCTCTGTTGCTGCTGCAGGCAATGTTGTTTTTTGTTTTTAATAGCTCTTTCATGTTTGCGAATTTGTTGAGATTTAACCAGACTCAGTAATTTGCAGAGGCTAGATTTAGTAACAGTTGCTTTTTGAGATGCCCTTCCTGTTCTTTATAAATAATTACAGTGTTCCTAAGACAGGGATCCATCTCCAGTCAACAGTCAGATACCACTTACGACTTCCATTTTTCCTAAGTACTTGCTCACTGACTCCTAGACTTGCCATCTTTTGCTTCAAGTTAATTTTCTATTAGCTGTACTGATGGAAAAGTACAGAGGCACAGATAATTGTAAAGTTATTTATATTTCCTCTTGGCATGTGTTCATATAGTTAATGCTTCAGGTAACTTTTCTGGGAGCTATGCTAATGGAAAAATACAAAAGCACAGATAATCCAAAAATTATTTGTTTCATTTTGGCTTGTGTTCTTACAGTTATGTTTCAGTATGGGCAGATCTGATCTGGAAATTTACAATACTTAAGTGATGGAGTCAGTGTGATGTTTCTGGAAATTGGACAGGTTTTTTTTGCTCTCCTTATTGGAAATAAATAACATTACCTCAGACTGATAGGAGGGAAAAAAACTTAAACCTCTATGGACACATTAAAAAAAATTTTCAGAGGCAGATAGTAGAGTGTTTTAGTCTTCAAAGAACTTCCTTGTTGGGCTGAAGGCTAGATATAAAATAAACGTCAATAAAAATGTTTGTGCATACTTTCCTGGACATTTTGCAGGCGTGATCTGTGCCTCATCTAGATAGGGAGTTGACTTTGGGTTCTTAAAAACCATGTCAGCTGAGCACAAGGTTCGGAAAGACCTAAGCAAGGGCAGAGATGCTCATCATCAGGTTGACCTAAGAATGATGGATTTTTTTGTCCACAGCAACTCCAAGACCTTCCACTTACTTGATAGTGTATAGATGCAGATTCACACCTACTTGTGGAAGTATTAGGCTGATAAGTTACCTATAAGTAACATTACTAATCAGGTGGTTTTTTTGTAAGGTAAGTTTTTTTGAACTGTTTTATTTTGTCGAAGTAGGCACTGGAGAGATATAAAAATGTAACATGACACAGAAACAACAAAAAAAGAAGTGTTAGTAAACTATATCATAATTAAGATAACTTGGGCAATTTGCAAAGCATAGCTGCTTTTAAGGTGTAATATTGCAAGTTTGTTATTATTGCCAGTGGTAATAATTATATACAGCAGTTAAGCATTAACAAAACCTTCTGGTTGGTGCCATTCTTCACATTACACAGATTAGAATTCTCAGCAAAGGCAGTTGAATAGAATTTATAAGAACACAACAGCAAAAAAATGAAATATCTAAATTTATGCTTCTAGCCGATCTGACCCAATGCTTAAAAATCCCCCAGTTGTAAATTACATTCTGCAGGAGTCTTTAGCCATGGTTTGAACTACTGACCTGGCAGTACAGAGACATGTGATGTTCTGGCCCCATCATTAAATTTGAGCAAGTCATTTAATCTGGCTAAATGATCTGTAAGGCCTTACTTGCTCCAAAATGAAGTGATTTTACCACTTCTAGCTCAAGAGAGACATTATCTCCAAAAGATGTATTATCTTTAGAGAGTTTAAGAGGTTCTTCTGTGTTACTGGTAGTGGTGGTGTTGCTGACTCTGCCAGAGAAATCTGGAAATGCATAATTGTTTACAGCAATATAAGAAAAGGTGGCAATTTTTTTTTAGATTTTGTTACAAATAGAATGTTATTTCTGTATATAAAGAATTGCAGCATATTTTTATTTTTGTATATCAGAACTTTAGGTCTAAACCTTTACAATTAAGCTTAAGATATTCTTTTTTTTTTTTACAATTAAGCTTAAGAATATTTCTTCTTAAACCAAAGTTTATTTATAAGCTAAGAATATGTTGGCATAATTAATATGGTGATGTTGATTCCGCCACCTTTCTGTTCTCTTTGAATAAATTGAATATGAGGGCCAAGCAACTAAGATAGAGCCAAAAGAATGTTATAGCATACAAATAATTTTAATAAAACAACATATTTCCTTTTAGGACCCTGACATGGTTTTTGTTTTGCTTCAATCCTTCTTGAAAATATTTCTAAAATGTAATCTATTTTCATGTCTTATAAGTATGCTATAATTTAATCTTTGAGGATATCATGTGATCATTCTGAATAATAAAGTATTGTACTGCCTAATACTAATGAATGAATGAATGACTTAGATGGAGCTAAATCTCTATTACAGACTCTCAAGACATAAAGGAAGTTTTTTTTTCTTAGTAAGTCCTTCCAAACTAAACTTTTTGTATATAATTTTTCTTTCAAAATAGAAGGGGAAATTTTGATGGTGGTGGTTGCAAGTTTTTACTATTCTTTGACTGTTGACTTTCTTTTTTAGCTTGGTTTTTGTACAGTGTAGGGGGGGGAAGTGTAGGAGTTATTTTTTTAAAGACCATCATTTTGGTTTTAATTTATTTTTTTTCTTTTTTCCCTTCTCAGGCTTATATGAATCCTATAGCCATGGCCAGATCTCGAGGTCCTGCTCAGTCTGCTGGGCCAACAATACAGGATTATCTGAATCGGCCAAGGCCCACATGGTAATTGTAAAAACTATTCATTTATTTAGTACGTTATTTTTTAAAACCTTATTTTGTTTGCCAAAAAAATACTTAAGACTTGTTTTGTTTTTGTTAAGCTTTTAGTAGCTACATTCCCCCCTCATCTAACATCAAATGAGGTAGGGTCATATACCACAGTTCTTACATTAAGAAACAATAAATCTCTGAAGGTAGGTTCCACATTCTTTTTAAAATGTATTTTTGAATAGTCTTGATCTTTCATAGTTTAGCCAGATTTTAGGATAATAATCCTCTCACCTCTTTTTAGATTAGAGAATTGAGAATTCATTATTTGAAAAAACATTGATTTGTTATACCTGTTCTAAAATTTGGGGATATAATGTACTAGTTTCTGACTCACTCTGATTTAGTTTATTTTTCTTGTCACTATTCCACAAAGTGTAATAGTTGGAATGTGTCAACACTTAATTCTTTTATTTTAAATGAAGCTCACTCCCCTTTGTCTACCCTTATTAATATTGGAGAGTTGCTATAACTGACAACTAAATATAGTACACTGAAGGGCAAGTTATTGTATTTCATGTTTGAAATTGAGATGAGAAAATGATTTATCAGTAAATATTCAAATAAATAGAATAAATGGACAAAGACAAAGCTTTTTTCTCGAGTGTTTGGATAGACACAGTGATTAATACTTCCAATTGATGGCTTAAAAGAATGTTAGGAAAGAAATTCATTTTATAATGAATTTATAATAAACAGTGAAGATTTGTGGTAAAGTTATTAAGCAAAATTCATTGCTGAAACTTTCCTGTGCTTTTTATATTTCATGGACTCTATCTCCTTCCTCTTAATTCTATCCATTCCCTCCCCCATTGAAGAAATTAAATTCAAATTAGAAAAATGATTATATAATCATTTTCTTTGGGGAATAATTTTTTGAAAAACACCTCTTTTGGTTTTTGATCTCTTCTTGAAATTTTAAATTTGTGACTGTTATCATCTCTTTGATCTGTATAAACTTATGTTCTGTTTTTTAAGGGAAGAAGTGAAAGAACAGCTAGAAAAGAAAAAGAAAGGCTCCAAGGCATTAGCAGAATTTGAAGAAAAAATGAATGAGGTTGGTAAGCTCTGTGGTTTTTTACATGGAAGTCTTCTTTGCCTTCAAAAGCCTTTAAATAAAATATCTTCCATTTTAAATTGTTTACTTTTTTTAAGGTTTTTAGGTTCAGCTTTCTGTAACAGCAGTATCTGTATTATATAGTAAGCTTAATTATTTCACCCACTCTACTTCTTGGTAACTGTGTGAAACGTAACTTCTGAACTTTCTCAACTTAGTCTTGTCAACTTTTACTGCCATATTATCATCAGATAGTAGGATGTTTGTAGAAGGAAGGGTTATTTGATGTTTAGATATGTAGCCCTTAAAACATTTACCCATTTTTCCACAAAACTAAAAAGCTAAAATATGAAACTACTAAAAGTACTTGTAGGTTTTTGTTCAGTCATTTTTCAGTTGTGCCCAACTCTTTGTGACTCCATTTGGAGTATTCTTCACAAAGATACTGGAGTAGTTTGCCATTTCCTTCTCCAGCTCATTTTACAGATGAGGAAACTGAGGCAAACAGGGTTAAGTGACTTGCCCAAAGTCACACAACTAATAAGTATCTGAGGACAGATTTGAACTCGGGTCTTCCTGACTCCAGGCCTGGTGCTCTGTCCACTTTACCATCTAGCTGCCCCACTAGAAAGAACTACTAAGATTCTATTTAAAAGAAAAAAAACCTTAGAAGGTGGTTATATAAGTCAAAAGAAAAATGTATGTTGCCCCCCAAATAGTGGCAAAATCAGACTAAAAAGAATAGTAAGAGAAATCTCATGAAAAAAAAATTTGTTCCAACTAATAGAACTAGATAAAATAATAAAATTAATTTGAAGGAATAAAAGGTCTAGAACAGTGAGTCTTAACCACACATGCGTGGGTGTGTGTGCGTGTCTGTGTGTGAGATGGGCCCTTTTGGTAGTCTGGTGAAACCTGTGGACCTATAAAATGTTTTTAAATGCATAAAATAAAATTCATATGATTGCAGAGGAAATCAGTTACATTGAAATAGTGCCAAAAACTTGTTTTAAAAAATAAGTTTGCACCCTCCAGCTTTAAGAACCCCTAGTCTAGAATCTCAGGGGGAAATAATAGGAGGGAAAGGTAGGAATGAGGGGATTTTGAACTGTTACAAAGCAATACCATGAAAACTAGTTGGTACTGGTTAAAATTTAGAAAACTAGATCAGTGGAACAAATTAAAAAAGCAGACAGAAAGTAATCAGACACAATGGCCCAGTAAAGCCCAGAACATAAAATCATTGGAGGAAGGGCTACCCATTTGACAGAAAATTAAAAAGCACTTTGGCCAACCGTATGTTTAGACCAGCAGCAGTACGATGTCCGAATGCACGTGTGACCAAAGTATAAAAGGTCACATTCTCCACAATGAAGAGGGCATTACCTTTCACAACTCTAACAGGGCAGGGAAAGGAGTAACCGAGAAAAGGAGTTAAGAATTCAAAATGGCAAGAGTCATTTTGGAACAGCAGATCAGTGTACAACTGATGTTTCAAAAAACAAAAACTGCAAATTTCCGGTAACCATATTTAAAGTTGTTCCAAATCACTGATAATTAAGAGAAATGCAAAATAAAACAATTAAGGTTTCACTTCACAGCAAGGAAATTAGATTGGCTGAACTGTAAATTCAGCCATTTTTGACAGCAGTTATGAATTATATGAAAAATGTAACTGAACTGTTCCATTTTCTGTCTGACCTTTTAACCCACTGATTCCCCTGTTAGTTATATACCTAAAGGAAGTCAAAAACATAAATAAATGGTCCATATACACTAGAATATTCATAGCACTTTTTGTAGTAGCAAAGAACTAGAAAGAAGGTGGGTGACCATTGATTGAGGCTTGGCTGAATAAAGCATGGCATATGAATGCAGTAGACTGTTGTGCACTAACAATGACAAATATAAGGAATTAAGAGAAGTGTGGGGAAAATCACAAATTGATGCAGAGTGAACAACCAGGAGAACACTATGTTCAGTGTAACCGAATTAAAAACAAAAGACATCAGTGACATGCTCTGTCTTCATGATGTGATATTTTCTTCAGGCGCAGAATACATTAAAAAACACTCTGTGACCACTCAAGCATTTTTCATCTTCTGTACATAATACTTTCCCCTGACAGATGAACAAAGACTGAATTAAAAGCCTTAGTATTTTGATGTCTAAGTAAAAATTAATTTGTTAGATAAGATGCCTAACATTATATAGAAACAGTAATGATTTCCTACAGAAGCTCAGTTCCACAGTTTTTGTGTTGAGATAATTGCAAATATAGTCAGTCACTAATGAATGGATTGTTTTCTAAAAGTTTTTTAATCAGTTATTTGGAATGTGGAGGGCCTTTCCTCATAAACGTGGTTAGATTCTGAGACCAGCCCACAAAGAGCATTCTTTTAGTGAATATTTATTGAGCCACCTGCTATGTTCACTTTCTTTTTCAGAACTGGAAAAAGGAACTGGAAAAACACAGGGAGAAATTGTTAGGTGGAAGCGAGAGTTCATCGAAGAAAAGAGAGGTAATACTCCTAATAATGGTCTTAATGTTAATATACTGACTATAAGCTCCTCAAGGGCAGTGGTTGTTTTAATTTTGTCTTTGTATCTCAGTACTTGGTACATCAGTAGGCACCTTAATTCGTCTTGATTAAGAAATTGTAAAGTATATCCAGTATTTAAATTTTCATGATATCTTACTGCTAATAATGCCTTTAAGAACTGAGATCATCTTATTACTTGGACTTCTGACTTGCAGAATTTAATCACAACCTGATAACATTTATTCCTTTTTTAGAGAAAGAAAAAGGAAAAGAAGAGAGCTGGTAGGGTGAGCAACGTTTTCCTTTTTTCTCCCCCTCCCTTTTTGCCAAATGTAAATGGATTAAGGCCCTGAAAAGTAAGGATGATTTGTTTTATTAGTATATGGCTCAGATTAAATAACTGGGCAGAAATTAAGGAGCTTGTTTTATCAATTGTCAATAGTGTTCATAATAGAAAGATGCTAACCTCCTGTAAAACTGGGGCTCCTTCATTAATATTAAAGGAGAATATTTAACTAGTATGTGTCTTAAATATGAGCACTTTAAAATTGAGTTTTCTTTAAAGAGTTGACATTTAAGCAACTGGGGGGGGGGGACAGTCTCTTGAATTTAAAAAAAAAACTTAATGATTCTTAGGAACATGGGCTTCTGTTAACCTTAGATGATAAATTAATCAATCTTCCTGAATAATTTGGTGAGGCAAAGTGAAATGAACCAATTCTGCATCTCACAAGCTTTAATTGTTCTGTGTTTGGTCAAGTCTTCATCCTCTTCTTCATCAAGCTCTGATTCTTCCAGCAGTTCTTCAGATTCGGAAGATGAGGTGAGAGTGAATTGCTGTTTTTAATATACTACGTGAAATACGATGTTCTAAAGCTATTTTAAATATGTCAATTACACTGTAGCAAGACCCATTGAGAAAATGTGTTATTCAAATGTGTTATTTATTCAAAGGTTTTAGTTGACAGCCTTTTTCAATATACAATTAGATTTTGATTATTCATGCCCATGTGATGGAGAAGCTTTGGTATAGATAAGTTAAAAAGCCATATATTTAAATGGAGCATTTTTTAATATCCTTTTGCTCCTTTTGTGAAATTAATTATGTTCATTAACAAGTCAATAAAGAAAGGGAATATAGGGGCAGCTAGGTGGCGCAGTGGATAGAGTACTGGCCCTGGATTCAGGAGGACCTGAGTCAAATCCAGCCTCAGACACATAACATTCACTAGCTGTGTGACTCTGGGCAAGTCACTTAATCCCAATTTCCTCACCCAAAGAAGAAGAAAAAAGAAAGAAAGGGAATATCAGCGAACAATTCATAAAACCGTAGGATGTTAAGAGCTGGATGGAACTTTAAACATTAGTTCAGCCACCACATTTTATAGGTAAGGAGTTGAGGCCTATAGCCATGAAGTGACTTATTCAAGGTCAAGCAGCAGGCTAGTGCTGCAATGAACCCCTTCCCCAGGAACCAGCAGTTGTCTGAGTCTTTTCAGTCTCCTCTTCACATCTTGTGGATCCGTCCCTGTCTCTCCAGTCCGCAGCCCGCTCCTTGAGTCCAGTCCCTCATCACTTCTGGCATGGACTGTTGTAATAGCCCTAGGTTGTCTTCCTGCCTCCACACTCTCCTTTCTATTTTCATTCACTCGGCTGCCAGAGTTATCTTGCTAAGTACAGAGATAACCTGTTACTTCCCTACTCAGAACCCCTCAGGCACCACCTCTTTCTCTAAGTTAAAGTACAACCTGCCTGTGTTCACAGGTTACATTCTGGTGAACCTGGACTACCTGTTACACAAACTCAGAGCATTCACAGAAGCTCTCACCAGCGCGTGAAGTACATACCTTATCGCTGCCTTGGAGGAGCTTTCCTCAATCCTCCAAGTTATTAGTGCTTTCTCCCCACGTTTTGCTGGAACACTTTGATCACTCCTTATATTCCCACCTTTGTATTATACTTATTTGTGTATGTATTGTACACCTCCTCACATGACCAACCCCATTGTAGACTTAATCCCCCTGCCCCGACCCCCACCCCCAAATAGCAAATAGAATATAAGATCTTTGAAAGTAGGAGCTGTTACCATTTTTGTCTTTGTATTCCCAGAGCCTAGCATGGTGCCATGCACTCAGGTGGGAATGGGGGGATTCTAGAGCAATGAGCCCATTTATGTAGGGAACTCTCAGTGTGCAACCTTAATCAATGCAAATCAATAACTGCTCTGCTCTTTTAGAGAGTTTCCTAGGACACAAATCAAATGAATTGCCCATGGTCATATAGCTAATACTTGTCAGAAGCAGTACTTGAATCTAGGTCTTTATGATTCGAAGACTAGTTCTCTATCTTCTTTGCCATACCTGCCTCCTTACCATGATCATCGTAGGCTTTTAATACTTTGTTGAATTGAATTGTAAAGACAAGCAGATCAAAGTATTTATGGATCAATAATTAGCAATTATGTAAGGCAACTAATCCCTCTTTAATCCTTTTCATTAATTGATTAAGGTAAGAAATAAATAAAATGCAAAAATTATATTAGGAGAGTTTAATGATATAGAAACCCATTTTTTTTCTTAAATATTTTATGTAGGATAAGAAACAAGGGAAAAAAAGAAGAAAAAAGAAATATCGTTCACATAGATCTTCAGAATGCTCCAGATCAGACTCTGAATCAGATAGTAAGGTAACACAGAATTGGGATGGCAGCTCTTTTGGCATTTGTAATTAGAGGCTGGATATTCTTATCTTTAATTGCTTTCCATGTAGTAACTCAAATAATTGCTTATTTGCCTTGAGTCACACAAAGATTTTCTTATATTTTGACCTCCATAAGCACCTATCAAAACAATGTTTATCCTGTTTCTAGGGTCTGGAACTATTACCAAAAAACCTGTTAGTTACATTTTAGAACAATGTTGCCTCTAAGACTTAGCTGACCTCAGAGCCTCTGCTCCAAAAGAAGAACTCGATTCCTCTTAGGAAAGAGCTAGACATCTGAGCATTGGGCCTGTTCTTAAAGAAGGTTACCCGTTGTGCCTGTGCTGCAGTAATAATTTATATTATAACTCATTAGATTTTTCACCTCAGTTTCTGATTCTTGAATTCTTCAATTGGCTTTAACTCCTAATGCTTGTTCTGTAAATATGTGAACCTTCTTCCCAGTAGTTCCTAATTTTGTAGCAAGTGTCCTGTAAGAGCCAGATTCGTTTGATGATCATGTTCCCTTTAGTATAAAAAGTAGCTTCAAATTAAGGAAGCATCATTTTTCCGTAGTCCAGTCCTCTAAAAAAATGTCCATTGCCCACTGAAAGTTATTGTCCAGGAGTGAAGCAATAACACACCAGAGCTTCAAGGACAGTTGGAATACCTTCTCTGGCAGATCTTGGCACTGTGAAGCCTGTGTTGAATGGGGCGTATTTCAGAAAAGAGGGTTGGGAAATAGGAAGGGCCTGCGGCTTTACCACGATGAAAATAGATGATAGTGTGTAATGAGCACTAGAATTCAAACTATTGGACTTTGAAAGTAAGACTCCAGATATAGGGAGAGAAGGAAGGGTATTGGCACATTCAGTCCCTGGGAGAATCCCAAATGGCAAACCCCCAACTAGCAAAGGCGAAAGGTGTGCTGCTGTTCTCACAGGGACCCTTGTGACAATGAAAGCAAGCTTCAGCCAACGGGCATTTTTTAGTGCACATACAGTGTGCGTGACCCTGTGCTAGGCTTTGGAAAAGATAGTCCTTGCCCTCATGGAGCTTAGAAATCTAGTCAAGTGAGAAACAATACAAATAGCCGTAATACAAAGTAGAGGTAAATTGAAAGATTTAAAAGTACATCATAAGGCTTATGGAAAGTTTTCCTAGGACTCATAGAATTTGATAGACAAAACCATTGATCCAGTTTACCCACAAAACCCAGTGAATGGTCTTCTAGCCTCTACTTGAAAACCAACAAGGAAGGGGAACTTGCCATCTCTGGGGCAGCCATCTCTACCCTGGATGACTCTGGGTTTGAGGAAGTTTTTCCTGATGGCAGTTATGGATTGCCCTCTTGGCACCTTCTCCTTACTGTTCCAGGTTTTGTTCATTTTGACCGACTAGACCCAATCTGTTTGTCCTTCTACATGACAACTCTTGAAATATTAAAAGCGCTATTATGTTGTCATCATTCCTACACACACACACACACACACACACACACACACACACACACACACACACACACCCTTTTTCTCCATGCTAAGGATATCTCTCCACCCCCAACCTATTGTCATGGACTCAAGGCCTTCACCTTCGTGGTTTGAGGAAAGGACTGACAAAATCAGATGTGTACATTAAAAAAATTAATTTGACGCTGGTGTTGAGGATGGTTTGGAGGAGGACAGATTAGCTGTTAGAATATCATTTAGGAAGATTTTTCAGTACCCCGGGAAGGCCTGACCTGGAATGATAAATAATGGGAATAGGAAAGAAGGGATGGATATGAGAGATTGCACAGAGAGAATGACAAGTCTAAATAATTTTCCGTTTGGGAGAGTGAGAGGAAAAGACAAAGATGAAACCATGTTTTTAGATGTTATTTATTGCCATTCATAAAAATAGCAAGCCAGTAGAGTTATTTTTAGCACACAAGATTCTAAAGTATAGATAGTAAGTAACAGCCAGACAAATAATTCCCAGGTTTTCCCCTTCGGTAGAAGTGCCAGAGGTTGTGCAGTTGTAATGATTGAAGTAAGGGAATAGAATTAGGTGTCAGCTTTCTTGATTGTAACCCAGGTCAAGTAGTCTGGTGAGGTTTAGGTTTAACAAACCCTTTCCACCTTTGATTTGAAAAACAAGGATGGTGGCTAGTACTTGAAAGCATATCATACATTTTGATTGTAATTCTATGGGGAGAGTGGTATTTGAAATACAGGAAATAGTAGTAGAGCTAATTTGATTCGAAAGAAACCTCTTCTATATAAAGATTTACTTCCATAATTTTTCTGTTTTCAGTATAGTAAAGCTAGTATTTGCATTTGATCAATCACATCAGTTGTATTTATTCTTTGCTACAATTATCACATTTAAAATTTATATTTTCACTTTATTTAGGACAGCATTAAGAAAAAAAAGAAGTCGAAAGATGAACATGAGAGAGAGAAGGTAAAATTCAAAGGGTGTTAAATATTTTGAAAATGTTAATCTTTGTATGTTAGCTTTTGGGTGACTTGGAAATCTATCACATTTACTGATTTTAGTTAGAAAATGTACAGCAAATGCATGGCCTTTTTTGGGCCTATTAAATCTATGTCAGTGGAGTTTCATCAATTTCATGTTCATTTCAAGGAAACTGTGCTTACTGAAATTAAATTTTGAGTACACTTTAGTAGAATAATCTGCTTTAGACAGACTCTAAACAATCTAAACAGGTATTGTTTGAATTTTTGTAGCTCATCTAAGAAGCTTTAAATATAATGTATTTGGAATTAAATCCACTTAAAGTGTGTTTTCTTCAGAGGATAAAATGTCTTTACTATAAAATTAATTAATTTTAAAACAAGTACTTGGTAACAGTTGGACCTTGCTTCTTTATGCCATAGATGCATCTTGAAGAGTTTACTTAAATAGATTTATTTAAATCAAATTGCATTTACCCAGTTGTTTATATAACATCACAGGTTTTTATTTTCTTAGTTTTGGAATTGGTATTAATTTATACAGCATTTCAGAATTTGAAGGAACATCAAAGGCTATCTAGTCTAATTCCTTAATTGTACAGGAATCCTTTCTGCAATCCCCCCAACAAGTAACCAGGTAACCTTCTCTGGAAGGACCTTTGGGAATCCATTAACTCGTCCCACCCTACTTTTGGATAGCCCTATTTGCTTTGTTTTGTTTGTTTGTTTTTTTCTTCATTCTTCCTTTTAATTTTTTTTTCCAGCTTTAAATAGCAACCTTTATTTACATTGACATTAACATCCAAAATAACAATCAGAAAAGCAGTCATAGCTTACAACCCAGCCATCTTATTATAAATCATCCCATTGGGTTTGGATTTTTTGCGGTGTAAAGATACAGATATTTCAAGCAATACTTAATGTAAACTACATTTAAATTTAATTCATTCTCAGTCTTTTTAATTTTTTTAAATAATGTCTTATTTTTTCCCCAATTACATGTACAAATAATTAACATTCATTGTTTTTAACTTTTGAGTTCATACATTTCCATGTTAGTCATTTTGTGCAAGGAAACTCAAACAAAAAAAAGAAAGTGAAATATAGCATACTTTGATCTGTATTCAGGCGAAGTTATTTCCCTGGAAGTGGATAGCATTTTTCATGAGTCCTTTGGGATTATCTTGGATCATTGTACTGCTGAGAATAGTTAAGTCATTCAGTTAATCATCCTACAATATTTCTGTTACTATGTACAATGTTCTCCTGGTTCTGCTCCCTTCACTTTGTATCAGCTCATGTAAGTCTTCCCAGATTTTTCTGAAACCATTTCTTATAGCACAGTGATATTCCATTACGATCAAATACTGCAACTTGTTCAACCATTCCCCTATTGATAACCCTGCCCTTGGTTTCCAGTTCTTAGCCACCACAAGAAGAGCTGCTAGAAACATTTTTGTACAAACAGGTTCCTTTTTTATAAAATCTCTTTTGGATACAGACCCAGTAGTGGTATTGCTGGGTCAAAGGGTATGCCCAGTTTTACAGCCCTTGGAGCATAGTTCCAAATTGCTTTCCAGTGTAGTTGAATCACATATCCCCTCCAGCATTTATCATCATTTTCCTTTTCTGTTATACTAGCCAGTCTGATGGGTATGAGGTGGTATTTCAGAGTTGTTTTAATTTGTATTTCTTTAATCAATAGTAATTTAGAGCACTGTTTCATATAGGTAATTTTGATTTCTTTGTCTGAAAACTGGCTTTTTGTATCCTTTGACCATTTATCAATTGGAGGAATGACTTACATTCTTATAAATTTTACCCAATTTTCTCTCTCTCTCTCTCTCTCTCTCTCTCTCTCTCTCTATATATATATATATATATATATACACACACACACACACACACACACACACACTGAGAAATGATGGATTGTTATAATTGTAGAGAAGATTTTCTGTAAACATCTGTGCCTTTCAAGTCATTGTTATAAACATACACTTAAGTGTATTAAGAAATCTGTTTAGAGAAATTTTTTGAACAGTAATTTTATCCTGCAAATAATGATTCCCTAATTTTGCTTTGTGTTTGAGTATTTGCTTTGTTAGCAAAACACAATATTTGCACAAAATAGATATTTAATATTTGTTGAATTGGAAACAGCAAGTTTTTCTTTTAAAGCCTACTGCATGCTTAACCTTGAGTTAGGCATTGAGGTGGATACTAATGAAATAGTTAATTATATAATTGTTTTGTGGGTTGATTTTTTAAAAATATACTTACTAGGTAGAATTTAGTAAATCATGGGGAAATAAATATGTGAGAAAATAGTGGGATGCGACTGAGTAGTGTGGATTTGTTTTTAACAAAACATGTTTTGTTATAGATAGTAATAACTTCCATAAAACTTTAGGGTCATATAAAATATGTAACCTCCCCAATTTCAGTCAGTATTTATGGAAATGGAAATAAAACTTTAAAGGTGGTTGTTATTATTGAACTGGATCTTAGAAATATAAGATGTGCTTAATGTATCATTAAAATGTCTTCATTCTGAGTGGAAATAATATGTTGAATAATTCATAGGATATCAAAAGTCTGAGCAAGAAAAGAAAGAAGATAAATTCTGAAGATAAACCTGTATCATCTGAATCTTTATCAGAACCAGATTGTATAGAAGAGGTTAGTATGTAAATTGAATCTGTTTTCTTCAGTTTTTTGAATATTTCAATTTTTTATAAAGTAAATAAGCAAAAAGGAATAAAGCTTGTAAACATTTGATTAATTTAGATAACTTCCTCATCTGATATGATATGAAAGAGACATGAAATATAGAGTATAAGTCTTATATGTACATTTGAGTATACTAAATTAGATCAATGTTCTACTTTTGATAGACTCTAAACAATAAATCCAAACAATTGTGGTTTAGATTGAATTGGCATAGCTTATCTCATAAGCTTTAAATATATTTGGAATTAAGTCCACTTAAAGTGTATTTTCTTCAGAGGATAACGTATCTTCTCTATAAAATCAATTCACGTTAAAAGTAAAAGTAAATACAGTTGCACCTTGCTTTATCCTGAAGTTCACTGAAAACAGAAAGGCATATAACCATTTTAATGCTGAGTTTCTTCATCTTTGCAGTATGAAACACAAATGTTTTGTATTTTTTGTTCGAAGTCTGCTAGAATTTGTTTTTCGTTAACTACTGTATATAGTTTTAGATGTTCATAGGAATGATGTTATACAAACTAAAATGATTTTTGAGTACTGACATGAGAAATTTCCTTTTCTGTTTATAGTAGAATGTTGTACTATGTACTTAGTCTAATTAACATTAATCTTGTAAATAAGAAATTAATGTGAGTTTTTTTTTCAAGCTTCTGAGCTATTTGAAGAGTGTAGAAGTAGTGGAATTTGAAAAAAGTGCTAGCTTAGCATACCGTGGGGAAATACAGTGATATTACATAGGGTGACTTTGCCCTGTTCATTTTTATTATCACTGCTAATATGACCTAATGATTCATCCAACTTTTTATTTACTAATTATTCCTAATAGTCAGTTGTTTCTTATCCTGAGCATAATGTTGATTTCAGACCTTTTCCCTATTATGTTTTTAATGTATTTTTTGGCACTTCGGGATCTGAAATAATTGGATTTTACAAGATGACTCACTTAAATTTTTGTAGTAATTTACTGCATTGAATTGTTTAGCCATGGCAACCTATGAAATGCATAAAAATACAAAATGTCCCTTAATTTTCTTTGACCCTCTTTAGCCCTCTTCTCTAGTGAAAGTTGTAGAAAAAGAACTAGATAATACTAAAAATCAGTTTTAAACTTTATAACCAGCTACTTTTAAAAATTGATAGTTGTTTTGATATAATAAACAGTTTCCCCAACCTCTTCCCCCACACACACACACACACACCCCCTTTCCCACACACATACACCTCGCTACATACCTACAAAGCATATTCCCAGAAAAACAGTGTCTCTGTTGAAAGAAAGGAAAAATATACCCTTCAATTTTGACATTGTACTGACTTCAGCAAATATATTTAACTGGTGTTTCATTCTCTTCATTTAGACTTTTTTTTAACGTTGTTGGAGCCCTTGTGTTGTTTTCTTCTTGTTATTAAACTCTCATCAATCATTAGACACATTTTATTTTCAGCTTTTTGTTATCAAAATTGTTGCTATGGATATTTTTGTTTATATAGGTCTTGATATAAATCACTTCCTGAGAATGTAATTTTAGCAGTAATATCTCTCAGTTAATGTGTATAAACAATTTAGTAACTTTCCTTGAATAATTCCAAATTACATTTGTAAATAGTAATTTAGCTGGTATCCTACGTGTGTAATCTTTATCTTTGCCCAATAATCATGTGAGTTGTTTAAACTACTGAAGGAACACATCAGTGTTGACGTTCTTTATGTAAAGAAAACCAGAAGATGTACAGAATAGCAATTAAATGTAAGGATGGCTTATTGGTCCTACTCAGAGAAAAGTAGATGAAGGCACTGCCAGAGGACCCTTCATATTAAGAGGACCTCATCCTCATCCTAATGGCAGCAAGAAGCTTTATTTCATAGGACACTTGATCCGTCTTTACTTTTGTCATACCCAGATAAATATAGGCAAGGTGACCACCATAAAGAAAGGTTTAGTTTATATTCCAATATCTGTAAGCAGAGGATAAAGAAACAGAAATTATACAAGGATGTAAAGGAAGGTTACCTATAAATCAGGTGACTTCAGTGCTAAGGTGGACACAAAGTACAGCAAGAAATGTTAGAAAATGGATTCAGAATTAAAAATTTTTTTTTTAACTAAAGCCTATAGATTACTTGCCTCTGCATATCATGAATACTTAAAAAAAATTTGTCAGTGGCTTTTGATTTTTTACGTAACTGTAACTTCCCAGCTTTCTTGCTCCCGCAGCTCTACCCAGAGAAAAACAATTAACCAGCATCTGGTAGTTAAGGCACCATTGCACACCAATGACCTATCCCCTTATCTGGATGAGGGAATAATAATAATAACTGACATTGTGTAATGATAGTAACAGTCAGCACATATATAACCTTTTAGGGCCACCCTGTGATATGTGAATTCCAGGTTTTATCCCCATTGTATGAGGAAACTCAATCAGGGAACTGACTTGTCTGCAAACAGCTGGCATATGCCAGAGATGGAATTGATCCCATGTCCAACCTGATTAATTATGCTACACTGTTTGATCATCCATCCTCAGATTGTTATATTTATCAGAATTCTGATGTATTTTAGTATTGGTTCCCTTTTCATTATCAGGATCATCTATACTGTTAGGTCTGCTTTCTTAAATCAGGGTTAGTACATTTAAGTCTTCCTGTGTATTTTTGAATTCCAAATATGACTTGCTTCTTATGATACTTTGTATTCATACTCTTTAAATTGTTCAGCCATTCCACGGGTAGTGCTCACCTATTTTATTTCCTTTTTTTTGCCACCACAGAGGTGATATTATGAGTGTTTTAATATATATGGAACTTTTCTTTAACCTTTGGGTATATCCCCAATTAGTTGTAACACTGAATTGAAAGGTAGGCACAAGTGGAATGACAGTTCTGTATAGATGGTGAGTTTCTCCATTTGCTGCTGTTTGCAGATGACATTGTCTTGAGTTCATCAAGTTAACATTACAGGGCCTTGGTGAAATCATTTTAAAAGCAATCAAACTAGTAACACATACAGGAAAAACTAAGTAAGGAACATACATTGGCAAGATTGTCTTGGTTTGTTGGGTAACCAGCTGAGTTATTAGTCCATTGGCATATAACATGTAGGTTGGGGCCTAGAATTGAACAGGGGAGAGGAGCCTAGATCCAGTGGATGATTTTTCATAGCACTTTAGATGACAATGATTCATGTATTACAAGGCATTTTTCTCACAAAAGTGCGATGAGATAATTAGTAAAAAATGTTGTTCTATTTTACATATGAGAGATACACATGACTCTGGTTAAGTGACCTGATTTAGTCCTGTTTCTCCAAGTTCATAGGATTTTTCTTTAAAATGAAAATAATTAAGTTCTTCTACCCGTTTTAGTCCCCATTTTTAGTGACAGTTGTCTCTGAACAATTTTGTGGTCATTCAGGGTCCATACCAGAAAAAGAAGAAAGGAGAGCATCTATACACAAGCATGTATCCAAATAAATTTTATTGAAGGATATTTTTTACAGCCAACCAAGGCCACAGGATGCCACAAATTTCTAATTCTGCATCAGATCATTTTGAGAAGGGGGGGGTGGACAGTGTGACGCAAGTAGCAGCTCTAAAGATAGCTTCCCACCTTCTCCCTTTTGTACAGGAAGAATCTTCTGTTTGAAATGTATTCATTTTCCTCCCTTCCCAGGGCTTTGAGAGCAGCACTTGGTGGGAAAGCAAAGGATTAGCTGTTACTTCTCCTGTACCTACAGTTTGGGATCTTAGGGCATTTAGGAAACATCTTTCTGTGCATCAAGAGGAAAAGGACAGGTTATAGCAGCCCCAGAACAGGCATTGTGAAGTCAGCTCTGGCAGTCTTAGTTTAGTTAACCCTGCAGTACCTGTCCATGGTCACACAGCTGTAAGCGTTAGCATTTGTGTTTGAACGTTGGCCTCCTGACTTCCAGTCTAGCACTTTCCAGTTTTCCTGACACTAAATTCTGCTGCAAATTGTGTAAAAAAAAAAAAAACCTTCATCTCCCAAGATTGAAAATTGCAGCTGACCCAAAAGTCAGTGGAGAGTACAGCAGCACGTATAAATCAGCTAGACTGAGGCATCTCGCTCACTTTGAAAGACACAGCTAAAATATGATATGATGTGATATAATATGACATGAAAGACATGAGAAGCACATGTGATTAGGAAAGGAGGCCAGCTCAGGTGTCATTTTGGTGTCCCAGAGTGGTGTATGAACTTCAAAAGGAGAAGCAGCTGTCAAAACCAGAAGAGTAGCTCCCTTCAGAGCTGTGTCAGGCAAGACACAGATACCCTAAAATGTTTGGATATTTTGAGAGCCAGTTCAACTACCTGTAGTTAGAAAATAAATTTGACTGCTAAAATCTTAACATCATGTAATTTTATAAGAGAGCAGCCTCCATGACTTATGCCACGCTAACCTCACTTCCCTTTTGATAAGGTGGTTTACTAAGATTTTTACAAAACATTTGACAGTCTTCCTTGCTCTCATAAACAAAACGATACTTGTAAACAAGTATGATTGTGTGGCTGCACCCACAGAGGGACTCTCACTAATGGGGAGAGGATGTCAGTTTGGAAAATAGGCTAAGGGTTTTATTTAAGATTGCACTCTTTGAATTTTTTTGTCTTGATCATTAAGTTTATGAAAACAAATTTTAGCACCCACTGGAGTCATCAAGTTAATAATTGATCATTGTTGTTGTTAAATGATTATTTCAAAGTCTGGCTGAGGTGGGAATCCAAAAGCCACAGTGTAGCTCTCTACAACAGTGGAAACCCTTGTGCAGGGAGCCATCCCACAGACAGTCCTACGTGGGCAGCTGTCAAGACCTCCCTCCACCCCTTCATAGCTCCCACTCATTGCTTCTGGTTCCGCCTTCTGGAACTCAGCAGAGCTACTCTCATCCCTCTCCTCTATGACAGCCCTTCGGGGCCTTGAAGACATTGTCATCCTTGTCTCTCGTCATCCTTCTTCTGGGTAAACTTCCTCAGGCCCTTCAGTTCTTCACGTAGCGTAAACTTGGGGCTCTCTACTGTCCTCCTGGTTACCCTTTGGATACTCTGTCTCATCAGTGACCTTATTTAGGAGCATATGGTACCCAGAACTAGACGTGGTGTTGTCAAGGTAGTCTGCTAGGGTAGTCCTTACGCAGCTTCTAAGTACAACTCCATGAGCCTAGGGTATTCACAGTTTGCTTTGACTTTAAAACATCCATCACCTATTGGTTAAATTTTGCTAGGCTGAGCCTTAGGTATCAGATACACAATCCTTGAGCAGACCCCTGATGGCTTGCTGGGTAGGACCCGTGAGAGCTTCCTCTCTGCCTGTATAGTGTTCACGGACCTAGGTTTACCAATACATAACACTGAGGCATTGGAGTGCCTTTAATAATAATCATCTTTAAATGACTTTAGTATAGCACGTAATGTGTGTATTTTTACTGTGTACGTAGCACTATGTCAGAATTCAAAGGAGATGCAAAAGTGTAATACATGGTTCATGTCCTTTAGGAATTTAAAGATTATTTATTTTAACATTTCTTTGTGTAGCAGTGTAACTTAAATTTATTTAAAATATGATTTTATGTAAGAACATTATATTAAAACTTTGAAGTATTTTATAATGAGATAGTCTTGTTATATCAGCTTATCAAATAAAATATTTTACTTATTTTTGCAAGTTTCATAGGATATTTCATTAAAAATTGTCTATTTTTTTAGGCACAAGCAAAGAAAAAGAAAAACAGTGAGGAGAGAGAAAAGACCACAGCAAGTATCACTTAATATTCTTAAATGATAACAAAGAGTAGTTTTATGTATCAAGAGTATGGAAAATTAAATTTAATAGAATGAATAACCTAGGTCAAAATGAGGTCTTAGAACTATAATTTATTCATCATGAAAGCCTAATGTGTAATAGTGTTATATCTGTATTACTGATGTCCTGTCCTCCAGTAATACCAGCATTATTAATAATAATGATAATTAATATTTATATCATACTTTGAGGTTTTCAAAGCAACTTACATACATTATATCCTTTAACTTTATAAAACAGTCCTGTGAGGCAAATAATATTGGTATTATTATCCCCATTTTATAGATAAGGAAACCGAGGCTTAGACAAATTAAATGACTTGCCCTGGGTAATATTGGGCAGTCAACTGAAAAAAGATGTTCCACTGTGGTAAATTTGTATATGCTGATTTTTAGAATCACAATCCTAGTATTACATGATGCCTTTGTGTTCAGTATAATGTTTACTTTGGTGTGTATTAATATTAAGGAAACTGTTCATTCAACTTAAAAAAAAAAAAGACCACAGCCAGTATCACTTATATTCACTTATGTTCAATTAATTTTTTTTCTTAGATACTTAAAACTGAATAGCAGTTACCTTTTTAAATTTCATCATTTAACAGTTGGAATTATTATGAATTTTTGATACCTGGTAAATGTTTTGTTGTCGCTGTAAAATTTCTTTCACTTTTTAGGGAAGGAAGTAGCCTTTCCTTAGGTACAAAAATAGCTTCATTTGTTAGAACCAGAAGAATGTGTAATTTATCCTTGATGGTTTGGGTTTATAGTAGGTTAAATTTACAAGTAGAATAAAAGACTTTAACAAGAGGGGGTCTAGAAGGTAGAAGGCAGAAGATTGGAAGCATATGTTAAGCTTGCAGACTTCTTTCCTATTTCTATTATAGTGCTGCCTTCATAAAGTATGTATTAACAAACTATTTTCATAATACTAAGATTTTAAATTTCTAGTTCAGTAAGTATCAATAGATATAACCCACATAAGTAAAAACTTTTTAGGGGATCCTCAGTAATTTTTAAGAACATAAAGGGATTCTGAGACCAAAATATTTGAGAACCAGTGCCTTAACGGCATTATACAGATAGGAGTTGTGATGCGTGAAAAATAGCAGGTGTGTGTGGGAGAAACACCACTGACCTAAGAGCTGGAAAACATAAATTCCTAACCTTGGCTTTGCCACTAATTATAGGATCTGGGGCAAGACCCTTTACTCCCTGATCCTGTTTCTTCAACAACTAAAATAAAGGGGTTGGACTACAAAGTCTTTAAAATTCATTCCAACTTAAAAACAGCATTTCTGTCATATAACAGTTAAAGAAGTCACAGTGTGACTGGTTTGTGTTTCTTATTGGATGGTAATAAATAGAAAAGCCCAGTAGCAAAGCTGCCCAGACCTTGGATGTGGCAAAAAGAAAACGCTGGTGCACATGCAGCAGGAAGTGGACCACCTGAAAGAGGAGAGAGATGGCCTGGAGAGAGGTGCATCCGCACAGCCACTGCTGCCCAAGGCAGCCCCCTTTTGGATCACGTGGCCCTGTCACCTCTTCTAGAGTGATGGTTTTAGCAGTATCCCAAGGGCAATCCGAGGGTGTTGTCTGAGGGGTAATTGGAGGAAGCAGCAGAACCACACAGCAGCCTCAAGACATCTTAAGCCCTGGGAAAGATGTCTTTTAAATGTGGCTTGGACTTGAGATCCTTTTAAAATTCTAACTTCCGGAAGGCTTAGAAGACCATGTTGTGGATTCATAGTGTATTGGCAGAGCTTACATCTTAGGATAATGAAAAATTATGGTCTTTGTAGTACGTTATTTCCCAAAATCCGCATAAATTCTTGAAGTGGTGAAATGATAAGTCTCCCTTTATACCTCATCCACAAACTTGATGTGAGTTAGCTAGAAGAACAGATTGACACTAACAAGGGATTTGGATTAGGTACATTGTATTATACGCATAACAATTTTTAAATGCAGTTTGAAGATGAAGCTTATGGTGAAAATGATTTTCACGAAGAGGTAAAAGGCCTCCTTGGATTTTGATGTAATAATGAATTTTGAAGAAAGCTGTCCTGAAAAACTCATTGAGGGGCAGCTAGGTGGTTCAGTGAATAGAGCACCAGTCCTGGAGTCAGGAGGATCTGGGTTGTAATCTGGCCTCAGACACTTGACACTTATTGTGTGACTCTGGGCAAGTCACTTAACCCCAATTGCCTCACCAAAAACGAAACATAAAAAAAAAATCATTGAGTTCTACTTCCTTCATTTTGCCTTTGAGAGAAGTACGTGACCACAAAGTTCTAGGGATCATAACAGAAGCCTCTCATCCAACCTCTTCATTTTACAAAGGAGACAGACTCAAAGAAGGCAAGGATTTGGCACAAGATGGCTATTAAGTAGTGAAGCCAAGGGTTCAAACCCAACTTCCAACTATATGTTGATTTCAGCCATGACTCTAGTAATATCATCAGTCAGTACTGTCTGGTAGAGGATGTTCAGCATACTCTGTTCCACCGAGGCAAAGAAGGATGTAGAGAATAAGTCCTGCAGGAGAGAAGACACTGGACAACTTTAAAAAAGCGAAGGAAAGACAAGGGAACCTCACGATCTCTGTGGTGTCTCTCCATTCGATATTAAATAATTCTATTGATAACAGTTGAGACATGCAGGTAACTGAAGGTTTAATCATCTAAGTGCTGAAGTATTTTATTTAGCTTTAGACCTGAAGGCAGCCACGGAATCTGGGAGACAAAGAAGAGGAAAGAGAGAGTTCTAGGAATGGAGGACAGCCAGTGAAAGTGCTCCAATTAGGAGATAACTCCCTAACAAAAAGAAGAAATTGGCGACTTCCTTCAGGTCTCAGCTAGAACGGCCCACCTTCTGCACAAAACTATTATAAGTGTCTTCCATCTGAAATCGTTTCCATTTTTTATCTTGTTCCGTCCATAGTGGTTCATTAGTGGTCTCCCACATTAGACTGCGCTTCTGAAGAGCAGGAATGTTTTTAAATTTTCTTTTGTTTACATCCCCAATACTTACCAGTGTCTGGCACACAGTAGGTACTTAATAGATGCTTGTTGATTTATAAGTATTTCAAAAAGTTGGACCATAACATGTCATCAGTAGTGTTAAGAAGAAAGGGCTTATTTCTACTCATGAATTAGGCGTAATGGATTCTTTTATTGTAAGTTGATACTCTAAATTATTCCGGTTCTAACGTTTTAATAAAGCAATATTCTATGATTCTAGTATATTTGAATTATTGATAGTAGCCAAAGGTTGTATAAAGTAGCTGCCATACCATTTCTTATCATTTAACAGCAGTAGATTTAATATTTCTGATCTGGAAAATGTTACATTAGTCAAAATGTGCTCTTTGTTGCTATTATGTAATTAGAATCCCAGTGTCAGTACAATTATTTTATGTGTTAAGATCATAATTTTAAATTAGAACTCTTCAGAAGTGAAATAGCCTTAGGAGTACAATTATCCTTCAGTGGAAGGCAAAGATTAAAGGAGCATGTAAGAATTATGGACTTTAGAGGATATCCCATCCAACCCCTTATTTTATTTGTGAAGAAACTGAGGCCTAGAGATGGTGACTTGCCCAAGATCACAATAGGTCATAAGTAGCAGAGCCGATATTTAAATCCTCCCAGGACTCAACATCTCACTGTCTCCCTCTGTTTTCAGGTGACTATTTAGGTATTTTGTAGAGAGCATTCTTGTTAGATACAAGCTAATCTCACTGGTCACTAAAGTCCTTTCTAACTATTAGATTCTGTGAAATTATATAAAATGAAATCATAAATTGGGGCTGGATATTAAAGCATAACTTTATGAAATTTTCTTTCCTAAAAAGGAACACTGAGGGTATTACTTAGATTTTTAGTAAATAGGTAATATGTTTACTCTGTGGTTACTTTCCACATGTGTAAAGCAGTGCTCTGCTGTTCGTATGTGGCAGTTGTCTAGGATCTAGGAGAAATTAGCAAGTTGGATACTGCTGTAGATAAGAGGTTTTTACCTTAGAGTCCACAGACACCCACCCCCCAAGGATCCATAGGTAGATTTCAGGGGGTTTATGAGCTTGAATGGGGGGAGCAAGGGGTTACATCTTTATTTTCACTAACCTCTTACTAAAATTTAACATTTTCTTCAATTATTGAGGTAACAGTAAATCCATAGACTTCATTAAACCGCTGGGGGGGCAGCACGTGGGAAGGCATGGGGAAGGGACTCCTGCTTTAGACATTCTTTTCCTGGCATAGAATTTTCAAGAAAAATCACAATTCAGAGTATTTCCTCCTTGGTTTGAGTAGCATTATTTGGTCATATTGCCACCCTGTTTTGAAAAAGCTTTATTAGAATGATCAGAACCAAGACAATGTTGTACACAGTAACAGCAGTATCTGTTCAAAGAATAACTGTGAAGTACTAAGTTATTCTGATTATTGTAAATATTCAAGTCAACTATAGAAGACCTATACAGGAAAATGCTATCCACCTCCAGAGAAAAAACTGATTAATAGAAGTATGCTTAGAATGGTTTTATACACACACACACCTCTGTCTCAAATGGTAGCCTTCTCTAGTGCAGCATGGGGAGGGAGGGGGATAAGTTTGGAACTTAAAATGTAACCATAAAAATTATTTAAAAAAAGAAGAAGAAAGAAAAAGAAATAGCTTTATTATAACTTGTGATTTCCCTATTAAAGTCTCTTTTTTTTTTCGGTTTTATGTGATAGGTTTTTTTTATCTTAAATGTAATGGTACTCATTATATCATTCTTTCAAAGGAAAAGACAAAAAAGAAAAAGAAGCACAAGAAACATGGCAAGAAGAAGAAAAAGAAGGCTTCTGGGTCAGGTCCAGAGTCAGCATAACCCTAGGACCCCTGAGATCTCCCTGCCAGAAAGTGCAATGTCTAAAGGAAACTTCAACTGTGAAAGTTACGGCTTCTGCTACCCAAATGCATGAGTGCTCCTGTGTTTTTAGAGCCTGAGGCCACGGGCCGGATGAGGCCATGATTGTTGCCTGCTGCTTATTACATGGGGTACCTTCATCTTCTTTTTTGGTTTCATTTTTCTTCCCACAATTCTTAGTTCTGGAAAATAATACACTAGAGTCCAACTGATATTTGAGATATTTGGAAATAAAGTAAAATCTTTTAGATAATTAATATTTTTAACAGGAAGTATCTAATTTTAAATCAATAGACATAAAATCTAAATGCATCTTTAGGATGTGTTTAAAGTGACAAATCAGAGAGACCCAGATGACTACAGTTGGCCTTTTTAAAGCGAGGGCATGACGTTACTGCCCTCAAAATCTTTACTTTTGTAGATGTATATTTTTTTCCCCTTAATTTTTTGTTTACCTTAGGGAAGGGGTGGGGTGGGAGGGCGTCACTGTTATTTTAGCTAGCTGAATAGTGTGCCTTTTGATCCTTGCACATCCTATCTATTTCAGTCAGGACAGACACTGTGCTTCCTAGGGAGGCTGAGAGCTGGGTGGCAGCAGTCTGTCCCTTTGCATTCTGGAGCTTGGCTGTCTGCCAGCTATGTTAAGGAGCAAAGAAAGATAGCACCTGGAAGCATGAGTGAGCTCCAGAACCTAGGAAACTTACCTCCACTTCAATCTTTTGAATATTTTTAGCAGTAGAATGTTACATAATTTGAATTAATTTTGGTTACACTTTGGAGGGAATATTTCATAGAGACACTGGTTTTTTGATATAGATAGCTAAAATCTGAAATATTTTGCATGTTTTATACTATTTTAGTTTTAACTAGCCAGGGAAATTCTATTGTAACCAGTGACCATTATTTTTTGTATAAATTATGTTTCGGCTGCATTGTTTCAAGTGTGTAATTCCTTATTCTTGCTATATAATAAGTTCATTAACTGTGTTTAATTGCACACTTGCTGAAAATATTTAGCATGTAAAAAGCAGGTTTTTGATATTTAACGGCTTCATATTGAAGCTGATTTGCTACGAGCAAGTTAAGTGGCAGGCCTAGTATGCTATATGTCTTGTTACATAAAACTACTGCCAGAATCTCAGTAAATATACCGTTTAAAAAGTTTGTTGTCTTTATATATTAATATTGAATTAAGACAGGGATTAAAGTAAAGTAAGAATGACATGGTTGCTGTTCCTGTGACATATTTTACTATGATTGGGTGTCTCAAATGTCTGCTGCTGAATTATGTTTACCAGTGATGTTCAGAGGAACCGAGAAGTCATTTTTACTTCACAATTTTATAATAAGTTACATGAAATACAATTTACTATCCATTGTGCCTGTTATAAAGGGTGTTCTAACTATAGTATTTTAATGCACAGAATATTTTGGCATGACAAGAGGCTGAATAAATGGCTATTTTGCTAAAAAATAGCTGTGTTCATTTCAGCTCCCTTTGTGTGTCACAAAGAAAATGGAAAACCCAAAAACACTTGGAAGACCAGTTGCATAGCAGCCCCTCCCTACCCCCAACCTTCCAGCAGTGGGAGAACAGATTTCTGAAGAGATGTTTTGAGTCCCGTAGTAATACCATGTATCAGGTCGCTAACCAGGCTTCATCTTTAGAGCTGAACATTTTGTTATTTCTTGAATGGCAGTGATGCTGGTGCCAACCAAGAGACAGGAAATTGAAGAATGACATTTTGTATACAGATTAACTGTTTCAGGAAAATGGTCTTCTGTAACAAAAATGTAAAAAGATAAGTATAGGAGATTACTTGTATTACTATAGAAGTGCCAATTTTAATGTGTATGAAACACCTCTCATTAGCTGTCTTATGTTGAGCTAATTTTTGTCAAGCTTTGCAGACTTGTCCAGGAACAGTGATCATCGATGCCAGAAATGTTGGGTTTCTTTGCCTTGGGTTTTTATGTATTACCTGGAGACAAGGGTTGTTGTCTGCTTGTTGTTTTAGTGCTGCGCTGCAGTGTTAACTATCTAGAAAGAAAGCCAGACTATTTTATTGTTTATCTGATTACTATCTTTTTAGCAGTCTTCCAATAAAGGGTGCAGGAAGAAAAATGGATAGGGTGATAGTATTTTATAAATTATATTCGTTCCAAATTCTTACTAAGGTACTCACAAATTTTGCCTTTCTCCTAAGATTTAGTAACTTTGACCACTAGTTTTGTAAATGTGAGGAAATCCCTTGATTGACAGCAACTTAGCAGATAACTTTGGAATTAGCGCTTAGGTAGAAATGTGGATTTTGTACTGATTTGACCTTGAGTTTACTATTTACTGTTTCTGGTTTCTAAAAATCATCAGAATATTGAGTTTTACACAATATAACAAGGTTCTCCCGAGCTGGATTTTATCTAGTATACACATGATTGTTCCTTAGAACAAGGAACCAAAAGCATTAGGGCCTGAATGAATTTATTCATTCATGGTCAGATGAATGTATTTATGTGGCAGAAGAGTACAATAAATAGAATCTCAGGAAAATTAAGTGGGGAAGGTACTATTCTAGAATCTCAGTGATAGATTCAGCTGTTGTTTTTCTTCTGAAAGTTTTTCAGTTTAAAATCCAAGAAAATCAAAACCAGAAATTCCTTATCTAGAAAAACGGGGGGGGGAGGGGGGGAGCGAGCCCTCAGCGATTTAATGCCATATAAGAGTCACTTTTACATTTCAAGGAAAATTATGTGACTTTTGGGACCTTAGGGTTCTTTTATAATAGTCAATTCGGCAACATTTCTATAGTCCCCAAGGATTGGATGAGCCTAGGCACAGGCTGGAGGAGGTTAGACAACTGGTAGTGAAATAGATAGTGAGCTGAGCCTAGAGTCAGGATGACCCGAGTTCACATCCTGTCTCAGACACTAGCTGTGTGACCTGGGCAAGTTATTTCACAGCTGTTTGCCTCAGTTTCCTCATCTGCAGAACAAATATTAATAGTACCTACCTCCCCATGTTGTTGTGAGGAGCCAGTGAGATAAAAGTTCAAAGCACTTTGCAAATTTTAAACATAAATGCTCCGTTAGTCCTTTCAGTGTTTCACAGTAGGTAGGAATTCAACAGTTAGAATTTGAACCAGCTCTCCTTCATGTGGTGTCAGAATGTGAGTTGAAAGGGACCTCAGAGGCTGTCCAGTGCAGCCCATGCATGAACTAGTATCTGTCCTCTATAAGATAGTTGACAGATGACAAAAGTCATCTCGCCTTTGCCTGAAATGAAGGAGACTTGGAGAGAAGTATGAACCTCACCCTCTCAGTGTAGCTCATCCACCTCTGAATGACTATAACTGTTAGGAAGTTTTTTTATTTTGAGCCTTAATATGCAACTAATAGCTATTTCCCCTAGTTCTGCGCCTCCCCGAGGTCAAACAGAAATTCATCCCTTTTTGTACACAGGCTTAAGGACCATTACTGTGTCTCCCCAGATCTCCAGGCTAAATACGCCTGTTCCATCTGTCCACATAGAAAATTATTTTAAGGACTAGGGCACAGCCTGTTTGCCCTCCTCTGGACAGTGGCTTGTAAGAGTTATTCCAATAAAAACAGGGACAAAATGTCTGGTCCAACTGGAATACTTATGCTGACGTTGTCCAAAACTAATGCCGTAACACATTCAGATCAAATTTTTCCTGGCCATCAAATCTTGAATTAGAAAAGTAAAAGGACTATTTTATTTTCCCCAAAAGGTTCTACTAAAGCAGCCTCTGCTTTGTAGAGGTTGCAAGATGCTTGGTTCCTTGACTGAAATTTGCAAAAGATGCTGCTTGGTGGAAGACTTTTTACCTGATTAAGTAGGGAGCGTCTTTGATGATCATGTGATAATTCAGATTGATGTAGCACGTTAGAGTTGGTAGGGTGCTTTCTACAGCACAACCAGGAGGTGTAGGCCCTTGGAACTTGTATGTCCTGATACTGAGTTCAACTGCACTGCCTCTGATACTGATGTGAATTAAAAAGGAGGAAAAAAACTCCCATCCTCCGCACACACCCATTCCTACTGTAGAATATGTTGTAAAGAATGAAAGTTTGGTCTCGTCAAGCTAAAACATGAGAAATGCCTAAAGAACTTGATCATTCGGACTTTGGTATCTTAACTCTGTTGGAAGACCACAGGCACATCTTGCAAGTAATAGGCTTAAATGTGCCCTGCCTATTTTTAAAGGAGGATTGGGTGGTGGAAAAGAAATGGTATTCATTGTAGCTCTTTTTAGAAAATTACCAAGGAAGTGGTAATGTAGAAATGAGGCCAGGGCCCTTTCTGCTTTGTAGGTGAGCTTCAAGTCTGAAATTGTAAGCCATGGTGACCTTGTTATCTCAAATGAAACAACTCAAACCATCGAAACGCGTTACCCTCTCATCAGCATGGGATAACTATCTGATGATCAGTGTGATCTCTTTTAAACACATGAGGGAAACTAGTGCTAATTGGGATTTGGTAGTGAATCTGCCTGGGACTTAATAGCCCAATAGCCACCTGGAAGCCAGAACCCATTCCATCATCTGTTGCTGTTGTATTGGATGCTCCTGCTTTCCCGTTTGGATTTAGCATCCCCTCCTCTCCCAGAGGCCTGGTGTGTTTTCTCCTACTGTCTAGAGTGGCCCCATTTATCCAATTCAGCCTTCAGAATCTTCTTTGTTTGGTTCCTGAATTGTTAGTATGACAACATTCTGTCCTGGCTGTAGGTGCCCCCAGAGAGCACCTGTGAAAGCCTCAGCACGCCCTGTTCTCCAAGATTTTGTTGTTGGCTCAGATCATGAGTCTGAAGAGACTGGTGTGTGGCATCAACTTAAGGGACCTCAAGAAGGTGGTAACAGCCCTGAGCAAAGCAGGCACACATTGTGAGTACTACTGGGAAATCTAGCTGGATTAACCTAGAACATGACTTAAGCTACATGCTTAACCTGAGTATAACATCTGCCTTCATGGGACAGTAGCTTTTACTCACTGTTAGGGGTAGAGAGGTCTACAACCTGGATCTCTTATTTCATTGGTACAGGGAACTCCCTCTGCCACTGCAAGTCTGCAGTTTAGAATCTGAAATAGTTGCCCAGAGCTCTGAGCAGTTACAAGGAGTCACGTGCCAAGTATGATTCAGGCAGCTCCATGAATTCAGGTCATCCGGGCTCCCTCCCCTGCCTCATGAGCAACATTGTAGGGAGTATACAGCACTGAAAGAGAAGTAGTCTACTACCCTCTTAGCCCCTTATGAATATGTTTTTAAAAGGTCTGTGATTAAATCAACAACAAAATAATAGTATTTATGCTTCAGGAGGTAGGGTGGCCAAGTTGAGGGAGTCAGGAAAATGGATTCAAGGCGTGACCCTGGCCTGTATTAGCTAGATGGCTCTGCTCATCATGAACAATTTACTTGGCCTCTCAGTGCCCACTAAATTATAGGCTTATTACCACCCTCACCATGAATCCCTTCCAGTGGAGAGAATTTCCCAAGTCTACTGTTCTCTCTCTGGCCTACAGATATTTTCACCAATGTTTTTAAAATCAATTAGCAGGTGTTCCCAGTCCATAAAAGGAAATACGAGATGCATGTAATGACTACGTTGAGTTTACTTGTTTAATAGAATTTTGTCTTTAAATCTTCAGGGATAAGCACAGTGCCTTTAACAAAATAAATGCTTAATAAATGATTATAGAGTAGTTGATTTTGCTTGAAGTTGATTTTTTTGGTGAGGCACACTGTTGGGAAGAATGGGCCCCAACAAAGTGGCCACACCAAGTCCGCTTTCTCTTTATTTTTTTTTCCCATTTTAAAGGTTTGGGTTTTTCTTTTAACAACCAGGATGTCTTTGGATTATGGAAGGAACAGAATAGCTCTTTGCTGTGATTTCTATCAAAGTAATCACGTATTAATCGCAGTTACATCATGTGTGTATATATGTGTGTGTTCATATACATGTATGTATGTAATTTTAATGACTTTTTAAATTTCCATGGAAACATTCTTACTCTAATTTGAATAAAGATATCAGAAGTTTATATATCAAAACACAACAACATATCTAAAACAAGGCATTATCCTTGATTTCTTCTCTTAATCACCCTTGCCATTTAAAGTTCCATTTCATCATTTCATCTTTAAAAAGCCTTCACAACTCCAGTTCACATGGTTGGTTGTCTCCCTGATGAAAACATCAATGGCATTTCTAGTCCAGAACACACATTTTAACAAGTGATTATATACCATCTGTATACAGGAGCACAAAAGGTTTGTAAACCTAAATCAGAACTTAATAATGACATTTTAAATGAGTGGGTCAAAGAATAAATCATAAAATTTAATAAATGAGGAAAATGATTTCTGGGATACAGCCACAAGGGTATGCTGGCAAAGGTATAACAACTAGTTCTCCAAAAATTATCACAATTTAAAGTTTAATCTGCCTTATCAATATTTTTTCCATCATTGTCATAAGTCTTGGCTAGACTTATAAATAAGCCCGTTAAGTTAAGCCCTGATTTGTAGCATTTGTCAATGTCCAAGTTATAATTGCTCACGTTGAAAATTTAATGATCAGCTCTCTCAAGTCAGTATAAGCTGGTTCCAGTACATACCTGGACAGAGCTAAAGCATTCAGAAGCAAAAATATATCTCTGAAAAGATAAAATAGAAAACAAGATTAACTCAATATTAAGAAACAGAAAATAAATCTAAGATAAGCAGAAAAAAACATTGAAAATTAGAGGAGGAATAAATAAAAAGGACTATAGACGATGATAAGCAGAACTAAAAGCTGATTCTTGTGAAAAGAAAGCATCCCTATACTTTTAAAAGCTAACCTGATGAAAAAGAGGTAGGAAAATAAAATTGCCAAAATGAAAAATGTATCAGGTAAAGTAAAAACAATAGAAGTGAATTACCAGAACCTGCAAAACACCATCTGCTAGTAAAACTCAGAATTTAAAGAAACATGAGATTACCTACAAAAATATAAAATACTCAACTGAACATGAAATACAAATTATAAACAATTCGATCTTAGAAAATGAAGTTGAACAAGCCATAAAGAGAATCCTTAAGAAAACTGGTCTTTATGAATAATAGATATAAATTTATCTAAATTGTCATAATTTTTGGAGAGCTGGTGGTTATACATTTGCAACACACCCCTGGTTGTATCCCAGAAATTTTGGTATGTTATTTCATCATTTTGTCTGTTATTAAATTTTTTAAATTTATTTTGACCCACTCAGTCAAAAAGTCATTATTAAGTTTTGATTTAGGCTTGTATCTTTTAATTCTTTCCTGTGGTATATAATTAATTGCTAAAATGTATGCTCTAAACCAGAAATGCTGTAGATGTTTGGATCAGGGAGAAATCATTGTAATCTGAAAAAGTCAGGAAGGTTTTAGGGATGACATGGAACTTAAATGGTAAGTTGGTTGAATTAAATCAAGGATGATGAGTTTTGTTTTCACATGCATTTAAGTATGTAATTAATACGGATTATATATTATATATGATACATATAAATACAGAGTATATAAAACTTGAAAAAGAAAACACTACTGATTGTATATGACAAATAGAGCTCTGGTACCTATGCTAGGGAAAGATAAAAGAAACAAAAAGAAGTAACTAGACCAATTCACTAACCAATATTAATGAAAAAAAAATCTAAAATATTAAGCAATATATCAAAAATTTTTTTACCATAACCAAGCTAGAGTTATAACGGGAATGGATGGTTCAACACTAGGGAAGAAAAAATTTGTTTAAAAAAAATAATATTCAGAACTACATGATTATATCAATATACGCAAAAAAGGTTTTTGACAAAAGTGCAATAATGCTAAATAAACACATCAACCCTATAATGCATAAGTAATAAAAAGTCATTTTCACATGTAAATTCAAAAAGCTAGAATTATTTGCCATAGGAAAACACTGGAAGGTTTCCCAGTAAATACGGGAATAAAGCAAGGATGACACCCTTTTTCCCCACTCTTATTGGATATAGTTCTAGAAATGCTGGTGAAAGTAATTAAGGCAAGAAAAAAATTACATGCATAAACAGGCAAAAAAAACCTAAACTCATTTGCTGATAACCTATTAATTAGAAAATACCAGAGAAGCAGCAAAGGGGCAATAGCTTCAGTAAAATAGCAGAATATAAAGTATATCTATAAAAACAATTACCATTTCTTTATAGTAGTAACAGAATTCAGAAGGAAATAATAAAAGGGAAAATCCCATTCAAGATAACTAAAAAATGCATAAAATATCCTCCAGGCAATCTACCAAAGTATATAAATAAAATTACAAAGCACTCTTAAAGGAAGTAAAGGACAACTTAAAAGGATATTAATTGTTCCTGCTTGGGCTATATAAGTATAATAAAAACGAAGAGACTGACAAGTATTTCGTGCTATACCAAACTATCAAAGGAGGGGACCCTCTCTTAGAGATCATTTGCAGGAACAAGAGGACTAGAATCTCAAGAGAAACAGTTTGCATATCTGTTGGGGGGTGGAGTCACTTCCAGACCTTGAATCATATCGTAAAATAGTGACCAGTAGTACTGGTTAAAAAAATAGAAGAGTGAAATAGACTAAATAGATGATCAAGAATGGTAAATAATCCAAGTCAATAAACCAGTGTGGCAAGATTCTGCACTTGCTTTCCCAACCCGCATACATACTAGCAGGTTGGGTTCCCCGCCTGGCCGGCTTTCTGTCCCCCTAAAGATTCTCTTGGAGACAGTAGAACTCTTAATGGTACCAGGTTAATGCTTTACCCTGTGTATTCTTCAATATCACCTCCAATGTTTAGCACCTCAATATAATTTAACCTATTAAAATCTCCTTGATTTGGCTAACAACCAATTAACATCAATTAACTTTTACAAAGGCAGACTTACTGGGGATGAAAGTACAAACACATCCCCCCTCAAAATGAGGCTTCTGTCTCTCCTCTGCCATCTAGGTCCCTGGAGGAAGTGGGCTCAAATTTAAAGTAATCTGCCGTAGACATTTGCCCCTCCAATTTCATTTTTATTGTATTAATTTTAAATTGTTTTTACATGCATTTGTCTGCCCCTCCCACTGCACCCCATTAAGAAAAAAAAACCTCACCATAAACATGCATAGTCAAGCAAAACATTATTTCATCGTGGCCTAAAATGTATGTACCTCTGCATTTTAGGTTTATCACCTGTCTGGCAAGAGGTGAGTGAGTGGCAGGATTCATGTTCATTCCTCTAGACTCTTGGTTTATTATTGCATTGACCAGAGTTCTAAAGTCTTTGAAAGCTGTTTTTGTCTATAATATTGTCATTGTTTAAATTCTTCTCCTAAGTCTTATTGTACATGATGATTTTCTCAGTTTCCTCTCAAACTGCTCATTTTGTAATTTCTTAGTGCACAATAATTTTCCATTACATGGATGTGCCTTAATTTATTTAACCATTCTTCAACAGGATAGCCCCCTTATTTGCTATTTTATGGCTACTGTGAAAAAAAGCTGCTAAAATATTTGTGTACATCTAGATTCACCCTTCAGAGCTGCAGTCGCTCACTGGGCTTGGCTACCAACAAACTCTGGTGTAGATTCTGTTTCCTGGACCACGGGTGGTTTGTCTGAACTTTGAATTCTCACAGAGTTTCAACCTAGTGTGTTCCATTTCTTATACTCATTCATTTAAGAGGAGAAAGAACAAATACAAAGGTAAAGCAACTGAATTGCCATGTGTTCTGGGCCACATGGCTGTCTGTGTAAGTTGAATAGGCCACTGTTTCTACATCTCTCCTCACCCACAGGCTTAGAGTACCTCAGTTGCCCATACAGAAGCCAGATCAGTTCAACCTGTCAGGGCCTTTGGTATGTACAATTCAGCAGTCAATTAAAGGTCTTTTATTCACCACTTGGTAAGCAGAGGAAATAATCACAGGATACCTCTACATGGTTTGAATGGGGGCAGGGTCCCTCCATTCTATATCATTACAGATTTCTGAGATGGAGAAGGAGGCTCACCTCCCCACACATATACATGAGTTGGCAGCAGACGACTGTGCATACTCTCTGGACTAGGCTATCTTTGACTGTCTCCCCATTAGATTAGAGTCTGATAATCAATGAAACAATCAACAATCACTTATTAAGTGATTACTGTCGGCCAGGTATTGTGCTAAGCAATGGGGATGTCAAAAAACAGGCAAGAAAAAAAAGGTCCCTGCCTTGACTTGTGTTCTTAGAGGGGAGACAACATGTAAATAAATAGGCATGTACAGGTTACATAAAGAGTAGATAGAAAATAACCTTAAAGGGGGAAGCTGTAGCAGCTGAGAGCAGCAGGAAAGGCCTCCTGCAGAAAATGGAAGTTAAGTGATGTGTATGTGTGTGTGTGTGTGTGTGTGCGCGCTTGCTTGTGTGTGCATGTTTTTTAATTTATTTCAACATGTTTATGATTTCTTCCTACCACTGTTCTCTCAGTAGACAAAAAAAAAAAATCAAAACCCTCACAATAAACATGAACAGTCCCGCAAAACAAATTCCCATATTATCCATGTCCAAATATGGACGACCTTCTCTCTGCATTTTAAGTCTATTACATCTCTAGAAGGACACAGTTGGCGTAATTCATCTTTGGTCTACTGGACTCGTTCATCATTCTATAATGGGTGGCTCAAAGTCAATCTCCTCATTGGTGGAGATTGAGTATTCAGTGTTCCACTGCTACGTGAGGGGTGGAGTTGGTAAGAGCTTGAAAAAAGAGAGATCCATGATGGAAAATGCTGTCCACATCCAGAGAAATAACTATGGAGTCTACATGCAGATCGAAGCAGACTACTTGCTCTTTTTTTTGTTTTTTCTTTCTCGTGGTTTTTCCCTTTTGTTCTGATTCTTCTTTCACAACATGACTAATGTGGAAATATATTTAATATGGTTGCACACATATACCCTATATCAGACTGCATGCTGTCTTGGGGAGGGGAAATATTTAGAACTCAAAAACTTATAAAAGTGAATATTGAAAACTAAAAATAAATAAGTCAATTTAATTTAAAAAAAAAGAGAGAGATCCTGGTCTGGCTTTCAGCCTCAGTAGAGAATACACAGAGTTCCAAACCCTCTTCGTGTCTCTGAAGGAAGAGAAAGACTCTGGAAAGAAGCCAGCATGTTCCAGCCTACTGTACTAGAGACTCGGGTGAGATCCGAGACTCTCAGTTGAGCTGTTATTTCACTCTCAATGGGCATCCTCATTCATTCATTATTGTCTGGTTTTATATTCTCATATGTATGCTTTCTCTGATACCAATTTTGCTATCTTCTTGGATAAATGAGTTGGATATTTAACTGGAGGCACATCTTCCCCATTAAGGGATAGCAACCACAAGTGTACCATAAACCTAAAAATTATTGTCCCAAACTAAATATTTAAGCAAACAAATAGATATAATTCTAGCCTGGTACCCCCTTCTTTCTGAGGAGACCAGAGTGGGCAGCCTCTGGTTCCAATTCCTGGTTCTCCTCCTAGCAGGAACCAAAATATCCCTTGGAGAACGATGGGGAGAGGAGACTCTAGAAATATGTATTCTTGCCTCCCTTCAAGCCACATCTAGGCATACCCATGTGGACACGTATAACCCATATGGGCAGAACAACAGCACATAGCACCCCATTCCTCCCCTTTACAATTGCATTAATCAAAATTCTAATGTCTTTCAAAGCTGCTTTTTCTCTGTAATCTTGTCACAGTGTAAGTTGCTCTCCTAGATTTGTTCACTTCAATATAAAATTACAAAAATCTTCCCAGTCTCCTTTGAAACTGTCCATGTTGTCATTTCTTATAGAATAATATTCCATGACAATTGCACATATCACCATTTGTTGAACCATTCCCCAATAGGTGGGGCCCCCCTAGTTTCCAGTTTGAGGCTACTAAATGCTATAAATACATTTTTTTGTACAAATGGGCTCTTTTCCTCTTTCTTTGATGTGTTTTGGGTATAAGTTAAGCTGAATGTTGAAGGAAGCCAGGGAAATAGGTGGAGGTGAAGAGGGAAAGTATTGAGGAACGTCGGACACCCAGGACAAAGATAAAGAGTTAGGACATAGACTGTCCAGTGTATAACAGGAAGACGGCTGGGAGAGCTAGATCATAAAATGAATGTGGAGGGGCAGCTAGGTGGCACAGTGGATAGAGCGCTGGCCCTGAAGTCAGGAGCACTTGAGTTCAAATCTGGCCTCAGACCAAATACTTGACACTTACTAGCTGTGTGACCCTGGGCAAGTCACTTAACCCCAACTGCCAAAAAATAAAATAAAATGAATGTGGAGGGACAGTAATGTGTAAGGTAGAAAAGGGTCAGGTTCTAAAAAGCAAGAACTCTCTGTATTTGATGAGAACAGCTGAGAAAACGGGCAGCCATTAGATTTACGCTAACTTTTTATGCCACATCTCATAATAAGCTCAAAATGGATTTGCAACCTAAATATTAAAGATCACACAATTAAAACAGTTAGAAGAGAACTATATCAGATATCTTTCACAGATGTGGCTGGTGGATAATTCTTAACCAAATATTGGATAGTGGAAACACCAAAGGTAAGATAGATCATTTTGATGAGATGAACTTTTGAAGGGTTTCCATGCACAAAATTAATACATCTAGGATAAGGAGAGAAACTTAATTGGGAAGAAATTGCCACACCAAATATTTTTTGACATTTCACAAAAACAAAGAATTAGCAAATATTTATGTGCATGTATATGTGTGTATGTGTGTAAATAAAACCAAGAGCTAAGAATTTGCATGTGTGTATGTGTATATATATGTATATATCCAAGAGCCATTACCCAATGGTTAAGTGGTTAAAACAAACCATTCTTAAAGTAATTGCAGCTATTAATGACCATATGATCATACCAAATCACTAGTAATGAGAAATGAAAATTAAAACAACTCTGTGGTTCCACCACATACCCAGCAAATTGGCAAAGATGAGAAAAGATGGAAATAGTCAATATTGGAGGAGTTATGAAAAGATAGACATACTGTTGGTAGAGCCATGAATTAATTGGTCCATTCATTTTGGAAAGCAATTTGGAATTATCATTTTTTTAAAATGACCCTTTGACCCAGAGATCCTACTGCTAAGCAAATGCTTACTAAGAAATTCAAAGAAAAGTCCCCAATATATTGGTTGTAAAGGGGTGTGTGTGTGTCTGTGTTAGTAAAGAATTGTAGTGAAGTAAATGCCCTGGGGATTGGCCAGAGAAACCAACTGGTACTTGAATGTAATCCAATTATTATAGCATTGTAAGAAATGATAAATATGAAGAATTTAGAGAAATATAATTTGACTTATATGAACTGCTATAGAACAGATTAAGCAGAATCAGGAAAACAGTATGCCCAGTGACTACAGGGATGTAAATGGAAAGAATAGTAAAACAAAACCAAATGCTATTTAGTTAAAATGACCAAGACTGGGCTCAGGGAAGAGTTTAAAAAATACATACCCCTCTCCTTTCTTTGGGGAGATGAGAGCCTGTGAGTTCCATGTTGCATGTTCTACAGGATGCAATAGAAATGTTGGTTGATTCTGCCAAACTTTGAGTTTCTTTTTCTTTTTAAAAAAATTTTTTTTGAAGAAAAGGCTCTCAGGGTAGGAGGTGGAAAAGCATATAATCAGAAAGGAGTGTGATACAAAAACAAAAGGCATCAATAAAGAATGACTCAATTAAAGCAAATTATATACCATCTCATGTCCTCTACAGATAGTTATTAAGTCTTACTCCCTTGCTAACTCCAAGATTATGTAAGTTTCCAAAGGAAAGGACCATGGTGTATGTGTATATTCATATATATACACACACACACACACACACACACACACACACACACAATCTCTACAGCCCCTACCAGACACCAGAGTGGCAACTAGAATGGGAAGAATAGGGATTTTTTCCCCCAGAGACTGGAATTTAGAGGGTGCTAAAAATCATTCAGCAAAAGAGAAACATCAGAATTTAGCATCTATGTAAGCAAAATAGTTAAAATGCAAAGCCACAAAATGGTAGGCTGTGCCATTCCCTGCTCCAACATTCCTCCCACAAGGCAGCTATAAGGCACGGTGGATAGAGTTTGAGGTCTGGTGTTGGCAAGACTTGAGTTCAAGTACAGCTTCAGGTACTTATTTGCTGTGTAACTGAGCAAGTAACATAACCTCGGTCTGCCTCAGTTTCCTCAATTGTAAAATGAGGATAAAAATAATAACCCCCTACCTTTCAGGGTTGTTGTGAGGGTCAAATGAAATAATATTTGTAAAGTACTTTGCAAACCTTAAAATGCTATCCAAATGCCAGCTTTCCTCCTTATAAGGGGACTGTTCACCATTGTTGTAGTTTTTCATACTTGCCCGAAGCACAAAAATTCTTAGGCATTAGTCTGCTATATATTCTTACTGAACTGAACTGAATTTAGAACTCAGTAATTAGAATGTTGAATTAGAAAGTCTAATTAGAATGTTGAATTAGAAAAGATGAAGGATCATTTAGCCTGACTCCTTTATTTTATAAATGAAAATAAAATAAGGGTGTGAGAGGTTAAATGAACTGTTCACCAACATAGTAGCAGAAAGAAAAACACATTAGGATACACCTCTCTCCAGCTCTTCACCCACTGTCCATATTACATCAAATCAAAATTTTATTAATTTTCCTTTTTCATTTCACAGTCAACCAAAATGAAATGGAATGTCTTGTGAAACTTTTTTACTCATTTAAGGAAAAGGGAAATGACCAAGGTATCCAAGAAGGCCTGGATCGCGTTGAGTTTAGAAACATCCTGCATAATGTATTTGGAATGACCGATGACATGCTTATGAACAGGGGTAAGAAGCCATAGCAATTGTAAGTGCCACTTTTCATCAACAATGTTCAAATTTTTCTGGCAGCCCAGATGATATGAGAGTATTTTAGATGAAACTGCCTTTTACAGAACGATCAGTGGTCGGTTTCCTGTCCTATGAAAGTTTAATAAAAGATCCTTTTTGGTCTATTTTATACGAGATTCCTTTAGAACAGTTTTCTTAGGAAATTTACTTAATGGTCTTTTTTCCCCTCAAAACATTATGGTGAATATAACATTTAATCCTAAAAGTATTTACCATTACTGTCACTAAATATATTTTTTAAAAATAGTCGAATGAAAAATTTACATAGTTATGGGTTGTTTTTTCCCTTCTCATTTAAGTACTAATTTTTGTGCCAGACACTTGGGATACAAAGAAAAATAAAAACAGTCCCTGCCCTCAAGCAGTTTACCCTTTAATAGAGGAGACAACATGTAAATAAAGAGTTATATAAAAGATGTATACACTGGGCAGCTAGGTGGCACAGTGGACAGAGCACCGGCCCTGAAGTCAGGAGGACCTGAGTTCAAATTTGGCCTCAGACCAAACACGTGACACTAGCTGTGTGACCCTGGGCAAGTCACTTAACCCCAATTGCCAAAAAAAAAAAAAGATGTATACACAGTGGATAGAAGGTAACTTGGGAGGGGAAGATGTTAGCAGGTAGCAGGGGGACTGGAAAAAGGTCTCCTACAGAAAGTAGCATTTGAGCTGAATCTTGAAGAAACACAAGAATTATATGGAGTTGAAGAGGGCAAACATTTTAGCCGTAGTGGGTAATGATTATTTTTAAAAACAAAAAACAACTGAAATTTACTGAAAATTTTCCAGAAATTGGCCCTCAAGAGCTTGACAGTCACTTGATCAAGAACAATGGAGAACGTGGGCAAGGTTGGCATTCTGCCAGGAAGGAGGAAATAGTCAAGGCTGACAAACCCTGAGGGCTCTAGATGCCTGGCTTACATAAAGTCAGTCACTTTATGATTGTTATCACATTCTTCGTTGTCCTTCATTTCCCAAGAATGTAGGAAGGACTATGACATGTTTTAAGTGTGTGCATATATATGTATATACACACATGCATATATGCTTAAAGAAAACTTTCAGGATGCAGATGTGTGTGTATACATGTAATACAGATATATTGCATTAGGAGCTGAATGCATTAGAAGAATGTAGATAGGTCTATACTGTGTTTTAAATATATGTTATATGTGTGTGTGTGTATTTATTTAAAAGCTAAAGTTTTATATACTTAAAATATATGTGTGTATGTATTTAAAACATGGTATAGAGTCCTACCTACATTCTTCTAATGAATTCAATTCCTAATGCTTCCCCTCTCCTCTCCCCTCCCCTCCCCTCCCTCCCCTTCCCTCCTTGCCTCCCTCTTTGTCTAGCTCTCTCTGTTTCTCTCTCTCTCTCTCTCTCTCTCTCTCCTCTCTCTCTCTCTCTCTCTCTCTCTCTCTCTCTCTCTCTCTCTCCCTGCCTCCTTCCATATACACACATGCAATTTACAACCCCTAAAGATTTTCTTTATAAATCTGTCAGCTTCGTTGATCACTGTAGCTTTGATCAGTTTGTCTGTTTCATTCCTAGCTCTTTTCTTTTTTTTTTCTTTTTTTTTTTTTAGCGAGGCAATTGGGGTTAAGTGAATTCCTAGCTCTTTCTTGACAAAGACTGGACGTTCTCTTGGGAGTTCTCAGCTCCTGTCACTACCTGTTAGTCCACCATCAGTACACTTAGATTTTTAATCTCTGGTTTCAGCACACCTGACCTACAGCCTAAGCATCTCTTTCACTTCAAAAAACCACTTATGTTGAGTAGCTCAAGGCCAAGATTTCTAAATTGCACTATGTCAACTTGGTTCCAAATGTATGTTGGTCCTCATGTATTTCTTGTGAATTTCCTCTTCTGTTTGGTCAAAATGGCCAGTCCTCCCTCCTATATCAGAGGAACATACGCCTCAGTAGACAAAGGACTCACTACTTGGTGCCAAGTGGCAAGGTCATTAATTCCAAGGAGAGGGGGCTCTACTCCTTCCCCTCTAGTCTTCAAGGCCATGTGTTTCCAATGGCCCCCATGAGAGCTTTGAGCGCTCCTGCACCTGTAGGCAAGCCTAACCTTTGCCACTATTTCACTGACACTGTTTCAACATATAGCCCTTAAAAATGATTTAAAAAACTACTCACTAGGAAAATGTATCTCAAATTAATACCACCTCGCATGTCTGTGGTACTTTAAAGTTTACAAAGAGTTTTGTAATTTTGACCCCATGAAATGAATAGGGAAAGAATTTTCCTCATTTAGAGGTAAGTGGTAGCAATGGATAGAGTGCAGGGCCTGGAGTCAGAAAGAGCTGAGTTCAGATCTGACCTCAGACACCCATTAGCTGTGTGACCTTGGCAAGTCATTGAACCCCTATTTTCCTCAGTTTCCTCGTCTGTAAAATGAGGATAATAATAGCACCTCCCTCCCAGGGTTGTTGTGAAGATCAAATGAAATAATATTTAAAAAAATGAAAAGAGCACTCAGTGCCATGCTTGGCAGGTGGTAGGGATTGTAGAGATGTTTAATCCCTTCTCTTCCTCTCATTGCAAGTGTTGGACCAAGGGTTTGACTCTGAGTCTCTTCTGACTCTGGGCCCAATGCACTCTCATATTAAGACATTCTATATGCTAAAGGGGCGCAGAATAAAAGCATTTTCTTGGCCTATCTGGAGCATATCAGTTCATTTGTTCTTAGCTCTGTTATATACTAAAGTCTTATGTCAGATTTTATCCCTTATTTTGTGTGATTGCTTTTTTTGTGGATAGCTTTCAAGTTTATAATTTAATTTTAATAGATGATTCTGAGAAAAGCTACCTGCTTTGTTTCATTATAAAAAACATTGACAACATATTGAGTAGCACTAAGACTGAGATTCCTGTTGTAAATTCTTCTTTACAAAATAATCCAATAATCCAAATAATCTACTTTGTCATTTACTATAATGTAATGCTTCTTAGGAGAAAAGCAGTTTTTTAAAAAAACACTGAAACTTTAGGGTTTTCTCAGGAGGGAAATTATCTAAACTTTCATTTAATATGTGGTAGAAATTATTTTACTTCTCTCCATGTAAAGCAAGAGTTCTTAATGGTTTTGCGGGATAATAGACCTCTTTGGTAGTCTACTGAAGACCATGAACCTTGCTCATAATACTGTTTTTAAATACATAAAATATATAGAATTAAAAAGGAAGCCAATTATAGTGAAATACAGCTATCAAAATATTTAATACATAGGCCCCAAGTAAATAACTCTTGATCTACTATGGATACTATGGAATTATAACAAGAATAAGAAGGAATTAGAATTTGTCTTTAAATCGCAGTACCTGTAAGCCTACACCTTCTTTACATTTCAGTATTTGGTGCTTTTGACAAAGACAGTGATAATCACATTAGTACAACTGAATGGGTCGAAGGATTATCCATATTTCTCCGAGGAACTTTTGAAGAAAGAGTGAAATGTAAGAATTTCTGGCATAGCTATGATTTTAGGCAATCATAACTAGTCTTGATTTCATCCTTCAGTGCTTTAAAAGCTGGTATATCAGCACACTCTAAATCTTTAACCAATTAAATGGTTTTTAGTGCCTCACCTGGGCTGGCTCTAGAAATGCTGCAGAAATCAATGTTTTTGATTTCAAAAACAAAATAAACAACCTGGCCACCTAAAATACTTCCCTCACCCAGCTCACTGCTTCCAGAATTCCAACCATTTGGCCAAGAGCAACACTTAGCCTTTTCTTTGAAAGTTATCTTTTGTACACATTTTGTTCTATTTCTGACATTTATATTTTGTTCCACAGATCCAGGTAGGTTTGTTTTTGCCTAAGATTTCATAGTTTTAACAGCTATTTAATAATGCTTTAAAAGCGGTGAAGGCTGGTATACACTTATCCACTTCCCCGAATCAAAATTTGCCATTGCTATTTTTGCCAATTTTTCCGTATCTGGGTTTCACTACGATTTTGTTTAGTTCTGTAGTGAAGACCTATGGGTAACTAGGTGGCTCAGTGGATAGAGTGCCAGGCTTGGAATGAGAAAGACTAATCTTCCTAAGTTCAAATCTGGCCCCAGACACTTAACCTGGACAAGTCACTTAACCCAATTTGCCTTAGTTTTCTCTGTCAAATGAGCTGAAGAAGGAAATGGCAAACTACTTCAGTATCTTGGCCAAGAAAACACCAAATGGGACCACAAAGATTTGGACACACCTGAAAATGACTGAACAACAACAACAATAATGAAGCCCACTGTGATGCATTAAATTAATAATAAATGTAGGAACTATTGGTATTTTTCACATTTTCACATGTTGATTTGACTTCTATAGAAATTGGATTTTCTTCAGTTATTTAAACCTCCCATTTATTTTTAATGAAATTTTAGTGTTATCTTTATAAAGATCATGTGTCTAGCTATATTTGCAAATATTATTTTTTAAAATAAATTTCTTTTGTCATGTTCAATATAAATCCTGTCAGAATGCAAATAATTTTCAATATATTTAATATTTTACTTTTTTCCAACTACATGTAAAAGCAATTTTTAACAATCATTTTTTAAAATTTTGAGTTCCAAATTCTCTTCCTTCCTCTCTTCCCTCCCGCCTCATTGAGAAGGAAAGAAATTTTATGTAGGTGATACATGTGCAATCATGCAAAACATTTCCATATTAATGGTGTTGTAACAGAAAACAGACAAAAAGAAGACAAGAAAAATAAAGTTAAAAAAGTATGCTTCAGTTTGCAGTCAGACTCCATCAGTTCTTTCTCTGGAGATGGATAGCATTTTTCCTCATAAGTCCTTTGGAATTGTCTTGGATAATTGTATTGCTGAGAATAGCTAAGTCATTCACAATTGATCACTGAACATATTGCTGTTACCATGTCCACTGTTCTGGTTCTGCTCAATTCACTTTGCTCATGTAAGTTCATGTAAGTCCAGGTATTTCTGAGAGCATTCTGCTCATCATTTTTTATAATACAATAGTATTCCATCACAATCGTATGCCACAACTTAGGCATAGTTCCAAATTTCTCTACAGAATGGTTGAATCAGTTCACAAGTTCACCAACAATGCATTAATGTCTCAATTTTCCCACATCCCCTCCAGCATTTGTCATTTTCCTTTTCTGTCATGTTAGACAAACTGATGGGTATGAGGTGGTACCTCAGAGTCGTTTTAATTTGTAATTCTCTAATCAATAGTGATTTAGAGCATTTTTTGTATAACTATACATAGCTTTGATTACTTCATCTGAAAACTGCCTGTTCTTATCCTTTGACCATTTATCAATTGGGGAATGGCTCTTATTTTTATAAATTTGACTCTGTTTTCTATATATTTGAGAAATGAGGCCTTTATCAGAGAAACTTGCTATAAATTTTTTTCATACTTATGATTATTGTGTATTACCCTCTATCCTATTTTTTCTCTGTTTATCCTACTCTCTCTCTCTCTCTCTCTCCTTTTATCCTGCTCATCCTCAGAAGTGTTTTGCTGCTGATTACCACCTCCCCAGTCCACCCTCCCTTCTATCAGCCCCTCCCCCTTCTCTTTTCCCTTCCCCTCCTACATTCCTGTAGGGTAAGATAGATTTCTATACCCAACTGAGTATATATGTTATTCTCTCTTTAAGCCAATTTGATGAGAGTGAGTTTCAAGCACTGTCCACCCCCCCACACCATTTTCCTCTCCACCATAAAGCTCTTTTATGTGAAAAAATTTACCCCATTTCACCTCTTTTTCTCCTCCTAATACATTCTTCTTTCTCATTCTATCTCTTAATTTTATTTTTTTTTGAATGCCATCCCATCTTGTTCAACTCATACCCATGCCTTCTGTCAATCTGTACTCCTTTTAACTGCTCTGATAGTGAGAAAGTTCTTATGAATTTTAAGCATAATCTTCTCATGTAGCAATGTAAACAGTTTAGTCTTGGGGCAGCTAAGTGGCGCAGTAGATAGAGCTCTGGACTTGGAGTCAGGAGGACCTGGGTTCACATCCGGCCTCAGACACTTGACGCTTACTAGCTGTGTGACCCTGGGCAAATCACTTAACCCCAACTGCCTCACAAATAAAAGCAAAAATAAATAAGTAAACAGTTTAATCTTATTGAATCCCTCATGATTTCTCTTTCCTGTTTACCTTTATACTTCTCTTGAATCTTGTATTTGAAAGTCGTTTTTTATTCAGTTCTTGTCTTTTCATCAGGAATACTTGACAGTCCTCTATTTTGCTCAGTGTCCTTTTTTTTTTTTCCAGTTTTGCTGGGTAAGTGATTCTTTGTTGTAATCCTAGCTCTTTTACCCTCTGGAATATCATATTCCAAGCCCTCTGATCTTTTAATGAAGAAACTACTAAATAATAAACAGTAAAAACTGTTATCCTGACTGTGGTTCCATGATATTTGAATTCTTTCTGGCTTCTTGCAATATTTTCTCCTTGACCTGCGAGTTCTGGAATTTGGCTATAATATTCCTGGGAGTTTTCATTTTGGGATCTCAGGAATAGATCAATGGAGTCTTTCAATTTCTATTTTACCCTCTGGTTCTAGAATATCAGGGCAGTTTTTCTTGATAACTTCTTGAAATATGATGTTTAAGGCTCTTTTTCTGATCATGGCTTTTAGGTAGTCCAATAATTCTTAAATTATCTCACTTTAATCTGTTTTCCAGGTCGGTTGTTTTTCCAATGAGATATTTCATACTTTCTTCCTTTTTTTATTCTTTTGATGTTGTTTTACTATTTCTTAGTGTCTCATGGACTCATTAGCTTTCAAATGCCCAATTCTAATTTTTAAGGAATTATTTTCTCCAGTGAATTATTTTCTTTTGTACCTCTTTTTCCATTTGGCCAATTCTGCTTTTTAAGTAGTTCTTTTCACCAGTGGATTTTTATGCCTTTTTTTTTTAACATTTGGCCTATTCTGTTTTTTAAGGTGTTGTTTTCTTCAGTATTTTTTGGTGCCTCCTCTACCAAACTGCTGACTATTTTTTCATGATCTTCTTGCACCATTCTCATTTCTTTTCTCATTTTTTTCATCTATCTCAATTATTGTTTTAAAAATCCTTTTTGAACTTTTCCTGGAATTCTTTTGAGGCACGAGACCAATTCACATTTTTCATTGCCGCTTTAGATGCCAGTATTTTGACTTTGTCGTCTTCTTCTGAGTTTGTGTTTTGAGCTTCCCTATCACCACACTCACTTTCTGTGGGCAGGTTCTTTTTTGATGTTGTTGTTTGCTCATTTTCCCATCCTATTTCTTAACTTTCAACTTTATGGTAAAGTTGGGCTTTAGGGTTTTCATGCTCCTGCCCTCAGAGCTAGTTCTGGGAGTTTATAAGTTTTCAGTCCTTCCAAAGCGGTACGGACTAAGGAGAGGTGTGGTTACTGCTGTCCTGGCCTGTGCTCTGGTCTGTGAGTGACCACAAGCATTCTTTTCCCCCCTGGAACCATAACCAACATCACCATTGCCCTCTGGCCCTAAGCTCTGGGATGCTAGTGCTCCTTTTTTCTCTGGGACTTTGACCCCAGGACTGCAACCCGGATCCACATATGGGCAATGCAGTAGAGTCCTACATGCAATGCCAGCAAAGAGACCCTTGTAAATCTCCTGACCAGTTGTCTGGCCCCCTTGCCATCTGTGGTCTGAGAGCTCCAGAAGTGGCTGCTGCCAATTCAGTGGCCCCAAGGTCTGCTACCGTCTTGCAGAGCCATTGTGTGCTCTGGGCAGCTGAACTGTGTGTGTGTTCCGACTGCTGACCATGCTCCACTCTCACCTGGTGCAATAGACTTTTCCTGCCAACCTTCTAAGTTGTCTTGAGCTGGAAAATTGTTTCCACCCATCCTTTTGTGGGTTCTGCTCTTCCAGAATTCACTTTAAGACATAATTTAAAGTTGTTTGGAGGGGAATTTGGAAGAACCCTGGCAAGTCCCTGCCTTTTCTCTGCCATCTTGGCTCTGCCAAGAATGCAAATAATTTTAATGGATTTCTCTTATATCCTGCAACCTTGATAAATTCTCTTTTTTTCCTGAGATGTGTGCATTTTCTAGGAAAACAGTCATGACATCTGCAAATAATAATGTTTTCACCTCTTCATTTTCTAGTTTTTTTCTAGTCTTACTGTGCTTTTTTACATTTCTTATGTCAAAAAAAGTAGGAAGAGTGTGCATCTTTATTTTGTACCTGTTTAAGGTGGTAGTGTGCCTAATGTTTTATTTTTGTTTTAAATGCTGAGTCTCCTTATCTTGCCCAATCTGGAAGTTCAGGAACTACCAATAGACCCAGTCTCAATCTGATTATCATGGGAGCTCGGAGCTGCTGTTTCCTACTGGGCTGGTTCACTCCTCTTTAGGCAACCCTGGTTCCCCTCTCCTTCCTCTCCTATAGTCACACACAAAAGCTCATCACACTGATGATGTACTTAGTGCAGACACCTGATTGGCATAGCCCACTGCAGCTTGGAACTCCGGAGCTCAAGAGATGCTCAAACTCCCCCTCAGCAAAGATCACTGGTATGTATAAGCATGCCCAGCTTCTTCATGTTTTTCCATTAGTTTTCAAGTAAATACTTTTTTGTGTGTAAGGAGGGGAAATCTGTTTCTGTGTCTTCTTCTTGGTTTTATTTTCGATCATGAATGGATACCATCTATTGAAAGCTTTTTCTACATTTACTGACATGATCATATGATTTACAGATTTTTCTGAAATGTTTGTTGTTTCACCAATGTTGAATAATCCTTGGATTCCTAATATAAGTCCTACTTAATTGTTGAGAATGTGTTTTAAAGGTGCTGCTATATTCCATTTGCAAATAGTACCAAGCCATAGATGTAGGGCTGGAAGGAGTTTTAGAGGTCATCCAGTCCAACACTTAATACAATTGAGGACCAGCTTGGGTCCTATGATGCTAAGGTCAGTGCTCTTTCCATTGGGCTACTTTGCCTCCTATGTTTTATAAAATATAATGTTGATGATATAATGCATTGTGAGAGTTAAGGAGGAAATGAAACAATGTTAGTTGTTCATCTAAAAGCAGTGCTTTTCCTTATGCTTTAAAAAGACTGTTACCGAGTTTATTACTTGAATGGGGATGGATACATTTCCCAAGATGAAATGTTTGACATGCTGAAGAACAGTCTCCTAAAACATTCAGCTGAAGAAGATCCAGAAGAAGGAATAAAAGAGTTAGTAGAAATAACACTGAAGAAAATGGTGAGTATGCAAAAAATGGCAATTAGTTTTCTGAACGAAGGGTGGAGGACAGCAGGAATAAAACAAGTCTAAACATTGACTTGTTTTCCACCATAAGCAACAGATAAAATAGAAGTTTAGGGTATTAGATGGTACAATTCATTATCAAATAGAGGCAACTTTGATTCATTCTTTCATTCAGTCTTTCATAAATGTCATTTTTTGGAACAAAGGCTAGTTTCTAGTCCAGGGCTTATGCCTGGATTATTATAAGTCTCTTATCTGGTTCCCTTGATGCTAGTCTTCCCCTCCAATTCTTCCACATCACTACCACTAAATGAATCTTGATAAATGGGTTGTGGGGGCAGCATAGAGTTGAAAGAGTGCTGGACTAGGTGTCAGGAGTAGCCTGGATCTGCATCCTCCCTCTGACACTTGCTAGCTGTGGGCATTGGCAAGGTGCTTACTCTTTGTTAACCTTTCTCATCTGTAAAATGGGAATAACCTTGTCCTCAATATTCTCATCTATCAAATTCAAACACCTGTGAAATATTATCTGCCTCTCTGGGTGGTTGTTGAGGATCAAATGGAGAGTAGGAAGCCCTTTTATTTTTCAGACAAGGAAACTGAGACCGAGAGATTTAGATTTAAGTGACATGTCCAGGGTCATACAGCTGTTGTCTGGTCAGATTCTACTCATGTTTTAAGGACCACCTAGAGTGTTTTTTCATCCACGAGGTCTTCTTTTGTAATTCTAGCACACATTGTACTTTCCCTTATCTAACTCCTGATCCAACTATAAAATTTAGAGCTTGATTATACAGTTTTGCTAATTATTTGATGTACTTTGTGTCCCTCAACTAGGTGTAAGTTCTTTCAAGAAGGGATCATGTCCTATACTTAGTAACTCTCCATGTGCTCGGCACACACAGCTTTGCATAAATAACAGAGTAGCTTCTCCCAAAATACTTGGCCGTTTAATAAAAGGTGATTTAGTGGCCAACAATAGTGTGATCTTTTATCAGTTCATTTGGTGAAGTCTTATAAATAGTACAAAGGCAAATGTCAGTCAACCTCCTGTCCAAGTTTTTTTTTAAATAAGAAAGAAGGAAACAATGCACTTATTAAGCACTTTCTATGTACTAGCCACTGTGTTAAGCATTTTATTAACATTATATCATGAGATTCTCTCAACCTCCTTGGGAGGTAAGTACTGCTATTATCCCCATTTTACAGTTGAGGAAACTGAGGCAAACAGAGGTTAAGTGATTTGCCCAGGGTCATACAGCTAGTGTCTGAGGCTGGATAAAAAGCTTTTTTAGCAGTCTGAATTAGTTGTACTGTTAGTAGTTTTCCTTACAAAGTTAGTTAATCACTGCTGAATATATATATCTTTCATGTATGCATGTATATGTATATGTACATATGTATATATGTGTGTGCATGCATATGTATATGGGTATGTACATATGTACACACATACACACACATATATATGTTTGATGTACTTTGTGTACCTCAACTTAGATGTAAGTTCTTATTTTTATATATACACACATATACACACATATATTATATATATCTATATGTGTATATGTATATATATGTGTGTGTGTATATGTGTGTCTATATATACATACACAGAGAGAGAGAGAGAGAGACACACACACACACACACACACACACACATCTGAGTAGCACAATAGTTACTAGCCAATAAATGTTTATTAAGTGCCTACTACCCTGTGCCAGGCACTGTGCTTGGCCTAGGCAATACACAAAAAGGCCAAAGATACACCTTGGCCTCAGGGAGCTTCTGGGAGCTGAGGAGACGGAAGAAGAGGGCCCAGGATAGAATCCTGAGGGATCTCTACAGTTATATCTGGAGGATTCAGCAGAGGAGATAGAGGAGTGATCGGACAGATAGGAAGAGAACCAGCAGAGAGGGTATCCTGACATCATGGCGAGAAGAGAGTATCAAGGAGGAGAGAGTGATCCACAGTGTCAAAGGCTGCAGGGAGGTCAAGGAGAATAAGCATGGAGAAGCCACTGAATTGGGCAACTAAGAAACCATTGGTAACTCTGGAGAGGGCAGTTTCAGTGGAATGGTAAGGTCAGAAGCCAGACTCTAAGGGGTTAAGAAGACAGTGAGAGGCACTGGTTGTAGATGGCCTTTTCAAGTTTAGCCACAAAGGGCAGAAGAAATATAGGATGATAGAGAGGGTGGAAGGATCAATGGAGGGAATTTTGAGGATAAAGGGGATGTAGGCATGTTTGTAGGCAGGAGGAGAAGCTGAAAATTACATGAAGGGCAATCTGTTAGAGAACTAGTGGGATGGGATCAGTTGAACAGATAGAGTAGCCTTGGTCAGGAGGAAGGCCAGCTCATCATGTGAGACAGGGGTGAAGGAGGAGAGAGTGGCAGAAAGCACCTGAGTTACAGGAGACGAGAAAGAGGGAAAAGGAGAGTTCATGGGGAGCAGTCTCAATTTTTTCTGTAAAAGATGAGACAAGGTCCTCAGCTGAGAGAGTGGGAGGAGGCGGGGCCATGGGAAGTGTGGAGAAGGATGAGAAGATTTAGAGAGTGGGATAGTGAGATGATAGGGCAGGTTTAGTAGGATTTTCTAGCAGCATGAGGGCTCAGTTGAGGTTATGCAGCATATATTTGTAAAGGACCTAGTTGAAACAATTCCATGGTTTTCTCTACCTTATTTCAGCAGCCTGTGTGTAGACTTGAAGGTGATGGATGGTGGAATAATACAAGGCTGAGGCTTTGGCTGGGTGTAATCAGAACTATAAGAGAGTGAGGGACCCAAGAGAAGAAGAGAGGGTACAGTTGAACTGGTTCACCCAGGAGTCAAGACAAGGAGAAGAGAAGGTGCCAGTGCAGGGGAGATTACCTGGAAGAGAAATAAAGGGTCAAGGGACTGGACGTCCCGGTGAGGAAGAAGAGTAGGGTTATATAAGGTAGGCAGAGGGAGAGGTGAAAAGTCAATGGAGTATGGCCAGCTAAGGGGATTTTGGAATTCTTGAACATGGAGGTGGTACATTTGTGGGCGATAACACTGTCAAGGGTATGATGATCTTTGTGTATGGCTGAGGTTGGATGGAGGAGTGAGCTCATGGGAGGGGAGTAGGTTGAGGCACTGAATAGTTAGGGTTTTTGAGGGAGAGTCAATATATGTGCTAAAGCCCTCCCAAGTATGAGGGCAAGATTTGGAGAAAGAATTGTGAGCCAGGTACTCATTGAGGACTGAAGGGGAGTGATGGGAAGGTATGGTGGAGAGTGCTGGGCCTGGATGACCCGAGTTCAAATTTGACCGTATCTATGTGCTAGCTGTGTGACCAGGGGCAAATCACTAAATCTCTGTCTGCTTTCGTTTCTTCTAAAAGCGCCTATCTCTGAGGGTTGTCGTAAGGATAAAATGAAATACCTGTAAAGTAAACCTTAAAATGCTATAAAAGGTTCACTTAAATAATGATGATATGCTAAGAAATGCTCATCTTCCTTCCTAGGATTGTGATAATGATGGGAAGCTGTCTTATGAAGACTTTGAACGAGCTGTAAAAAAAGACCGGCTTTTGTTGGAGGTCTTTGGCCCATGTTTACCAAAAATTGAGGTACTAACAAACCATCCCCCTTAAGGCATGCCATAAACCTACCCGAGAAGAGGGGAACTAGAATAAGTAGCCCACACCCACAAAGACCCAAGAAAGTGCCCCTAGCAGGCCACTTCCTCCAATAAAATCCCTTTGTCCTTTGCATTGAATATGGCAGCCATATTCCTCCTACCTAGAACCTGCTCTGAAGGAACTTGAGTTAACCTATGGGAGGAATGCAGGCTCCATTAAACTCCCAGTTCTTTGCAAAGAATCCCCTTTAACTATAGGAAGAATATATTCAATTCAACAAGCAGTCAGTGAGTGCCTACTGTATTCAAGACATTACTAGGAAATGGGGATACAGAAACAGAAAGAAAGCAGTCCCTGCCCTCAGGGAGATGACATTATGCTGGGGATGAGGGGAACTCAAGAGAATCAAGTAAGGGATACAAAGTAACTGTAAGAGCAGGAGAGCACTGTGGGTAAAAAGCTTAGCATGGCGCTATTAAGCTAGGTTCAGGGGCAGCTAAGTGGCACAGTGGGTAGAGCACCGGCCCTGAAGTCCAGAGGACCTGAGTTCAAATGTGACTGACCTCAGATGAGCGAACAAGTCTTTTAACCCAGTAGTACCCCTGGCTACTCTTTAGGGCTCTAAATGGCAGAGCTAGTGCCTGCCGACTGGCACTGTTAGAGGAACTGCCTCATGGGGAGCTCCCTATATGAGGAAATCTTAGGTCTGGTCCAAAACAAGGACCTCAAAGTTAAAGACAGTGTGGGGACGACAGGGTAAGAAATCTGGAAGACTTGATGGCTTGTCTTAAAGATGGTTTTTGAATAGTCTATCAGCTGTCCACCACCAACTTCTTTCCAACTGTAGCTCAAGTCTTTTTCTCTCTAAACTAGGTCTGGCTACAAGGAAAAGTGGGAAAAATTAAAATTTTAGCAAAATTAATATTTCAATGAGTCACTTGTTAAACTGCAACACTGTATATCCTAACACATTCAGTTATGGTCCATTTTGTTTTCCAGAAGTGTCTTGAATTTGAAACTCTGGTATTCAAAGACATAAACAATGAATTTCAACTGTAAACAGCTGAAGCCTGGGCAAACACAAATCAAAATTGTATCCTGACTGCTTTAAACAGTATATTATTAATCATACTAGGCATTTATATACATGAGTAGTTTGTTATTTTAAGCCAGAGAAGCATAATAAATGTGAAAATAATGGAGTGTCTCTATTTTTAAAATAAACAAAAATAAGACATTTATGTCTCAGCAAATACAAATAGGACTCCAGTTTCAAAGATGAGATTAAATCATTTACTTTAATGTTCAAAGGATATACAAATATAAAACAGCAACAATAATAAAAGTCTTAAATTTAAATAACTTCAGTGATCTTTTTTGGAAAAGGTAAGATGTTGATTTCAAGATGTATTGTCTTCTATATTCTTCTTCTTTGTTTTAATGGACGACTTTTACATGTATCTTCCAGCTTGTCCTCTGAAGGTGTTGGCTGGGAAGAACTTACCTAGTGAAAAAGAAAACACAAAGAATTATTTTCTTCCTGCTCCTTTTTATTTGGCGCACATGTTAATGAAGTTCTAGAGGGAAGTACAGCAAACACAACTTCGCTCCATCCTCTTTGCCATACACTTTAGGTGAAGTGGAGTGGAGTTCAAAGAAGAGAAATAGGATAGCAGAGGAACACTGTTGACCCACAAAGAGATGGAACACATTTCCTTGGAAAGTTTCAGAGAAATCTGTTTGATTGATTGATTAATTTAGTGAGGTAGAGGAAACAGAGGATATTTTCTTACTGGAGATCCCCCTACACCAAACCACTAATGCTACTTCTAGTGCTCCTGCTAATTGTGGAGTACAGGAGAAACTGATGAGAACACAGACGGAAGAACTGGAAATCTGGGGGAAGACAGAAATGTAGGAATTCTGTTAACTGTAAAGTCATTTTGTTAGTTGAAGATCACAAAAATCAACTTCAATTTCTATGTGTATGACTTGGTTTGCTCCAAGTTTTCATGCTTGGTATGTTTAGAGGAACAAAGACCCACCAAGGGACAGGTGGGAGGATGAGGGGACACAGGAAAATCTAAGGGGGAAAAAATTACACTTCCTTCTATCCACTCTTTTTATCCAGGTGCTTAAAAATACCCCACTAATATATTTGGGAAAATGTACGCAGGGTTTGTTCTCTCATTTCCCAACACTGTCCTGTTTTTCCCTGAGGTTTCATAAATCTCCTCATTAAACAGACCCTCTTCTAAATAACTTGATCGCATAAGAGCTGGGAAGGAACCAAGAAGACGTCTTGCTCAACTCATCTCAACAACCACTCAAAGAATCATTGCTCCTTTCCTTGTAAACTTCGAGTGAGAAACAACCCCCACCATCCTTCGAGGGCAGCCCATGCCCCCTGGGAGCACAACTGCCCTCTCTCCATCTGCCCCTGTTCTGGAGCCAAGCAAAGAAAGCCAAATCATTCTTCCACATGAACACTTCGAGGACTTCATGCCCAATACACCTTCTCTTTTCCAGTCTAAATACATTGATTTTCTTCAATTAATCCTCATATGGTCATCCTTGTGTGGACAGTCTTTGGCTTAAATCAATGTCCTTCCTAAAATATGGCCCCTAGAACTGAACACATTCCAAAAGTGCTCTGACCAGGGCAGAATACAGGAGGACTACAGCCTTCCTAGTCCGAGACAACTACACCTCTTTTACTGGGAAGCAGTGTGGCATAAGGAAAAGAGTATTGACTGTGGAGTACCTGAAGTCAATGGACCTGGGTTCAAATCCTGACTGAGCCACTTACTGTAAAATGACTGGATTGGACAGTTCTACAGCTATCATTCTAATGTACTCTAAGACTGCATTAGGTTTTTGACTATGAAATTTGACTCACATTGACTGCAGTTCACTAACATCCCCAGATCTTTTTTTCAGACCTCTGCTTCCTCATCTGGCATTAGGAACTTGATTTTTTTGGAACCCAATTGTATTTATCTGTATTCAATTTCCTCTTATTAGATTCAGTGTAATGTCCCAGACTGTCTGGATTTTGGAAGGACACTGACTGATCCAATGTATTCCTTCCTACCTGTTATCTGAAAATTTGAGAAGCATGCTAGGCACTGTTATCCCAATCACTGATAAAGACATAAAGGGCACAAAGCCAGAGTGCCTCTAAGGCACTCCCTGAACAGCCTCCTTCTTCAACGTAACTGAACTATTAGTTACTACTCTTGGGCCCAGCCATTCATAAATCTGTATCACTCTGACATTGGCTAACCTAACTCTCTCCATCTTGTTCACGACAGCATCAAAGACTGGATCAAACAGTTTCCTAAAATCTAGGTGAATGATTTCTATGGCATTCGGGAGCTCCATCAAATCCCCATCTAAAAGGAAATGTAGCTAATCTGGCATGAACTGCTTTGTTTAATTATGTGACTTTGCAGGGTACCCACCACATGCAAGACACTCGCCTACCAGTTCTTGATGATGCGATTCTCTTTGTGATCATCGTCTCCTCTTCTGGATATTCAGGAATCATCCCTTTAATAGTATGTTCTACAGTAACAACAATGATGTAAAAACAGATGACTCTGAAAGACTTTGGAACACTGATCGAAGTGATGACCAAGCCCAATTCCAGAGAGAAGTAATGGACTTGAATATGGATGGAGGCACATCTGTTTTTGACGAGCCAATGTGGGGATTTGTTTTGCTTGACTGTACATGTGTTTATAAAGGTTTGTTCTTTCTGCATTTTCAGTGGAATAGGGAAGGTGGAGAGGGAGGCAGATTAGGTGGATGTGAAAATAAAAGTGAATTTTAAAAATCATATGTCTGGGGCAGCTAGGTGGCACAGTAGATAGAGTCTCCAGCCTTGGAGTCAGGAGGACCCAAGTTCACACACTTGAAACTTACTAGCTGTGGGACCCTGGGCAAATCACTTAACCCCAACTGCCTCACCAAAAAAAAAATCATATGTTCTAGAATTTTCCTAGGAACTGTCAAGTTCACTCAGTGTAGACTCTAAACTGGGGCATCTGTCCTTCTCTAATCAGAGATTGTTGGTGAGGCAGAGGAGAGAGCACTGGGCCTGGAATCAAGAAGATCCAAGTGAGAGGAAATCTCAAGTCATCATGTCCAAAACACAATTCACTAGCTTTCCTCTAAAAGCCCACACCTTTTCCACACTTCACCTTGCCCGTCAAGAGTATCACCATTCTTCTGGTCATCCTGGACTCTTTCCTCTTCCTTGTAACCCATTGGCTGCCAAATCTTGTTGATTCTACCTCTACAACTCTTGCATTTGTCCCCTTCTCCCCATTCATGTGGCCATAGCCCTGCTCACGCCCTTATCACCTCTTGACTGAACCACTGCCATAGTCTCCTAATTGTCCTCTCTGCCTCAAATCTCCCTCTTCTCCAATCCATCCTTCAGTTGCCAAGGTAACATCTCCATGTCTTTGAACTTGGCTGCCCCCATGCCCTCCTTGGTCTCTCGATCCCTAGCTTTCTTCAAAGGTCACCTCAAGCATTACCTTCAACAAGAGTTGGCTCTGGATCTCTTCAGCTGCTAAGGGCCCTCCCTCTCACCCCCAGTTAACCTTATATTTATTTTTACTTATATCTGCACACTTTGTTTCTTCTAGTAGAATGTAAACTTTTTGCAGCCAGGGGTTATTTCACTGCCTTTGTCTCCCCAGGGTCCAGTGGAGTACCTGAAACCCACTAAATGCTTAAGACCTGTTAACTGAAAGGAGGGGGTCCAAGAGAAAGAAAGAGAGCCTTGGGATTTATACCTACACTTGGGGATAGGTCATAGATGATGATTCAGCAAGGAAGATAGAGAATTAAGCAGTCTGACAGGTAAGAAGCACAAACAAGAAGAAAACACGCTGCTAGCGATCACAATAATATCACAAACAGTGTATCCATAAGAAAGAAGTGGTCAGTTTCAAAGTCTGCAAAAGAAGTCAAGAAAGACTAGGATTGAGAAAAGACCAAGAGATCACTGGTGACCTTGAAATTTAGAAAATTTAGGTGGTTTCAAAAGTCAGATTGCAAGGGGCTGAAAATGAGTAGGAGGTGAAGTATTGCAGGCAAAAAAATAGAGCTGTTTCCAGGAGTTTGGCTCTGAAAGTGCAGGAAGAAGATGATGGTGTGAGAAGAAGGTGTGTTAGGAGAAGGTTTTTTAAGGATGGGGGAAATATGGTGATTCTTATAGACAGCAGGGAAGAAACCAGTGATAAGTAATTCAAACAAAACAAAATGAAGTTTTATCATCCATACTCCTTTTTAAACTATGCCAACATTGGCTAAGATCTACAGAGACCACCTACCCAAGCATAAAAAGAATTAAAGGGTTAAATGTGAAAGAATTCTAAAATCTACAAGTAGACCTACAGGTCCAGTCCTTAGAGACAGGTTCCTTCTTGTTCCTTATAGGGTTTCTTCTCCCCCTTTCAAGAAGAGGCTAGAGGCAACATATAAGTTAAAACAAAAAAATGAATTTTGAGGTAAAACACTTTTTTAAAATGTTCTTTAAGTTTATTAAGCTAAATAGTAAAATAATCACTCCAATGTTTTTAAAGCAAGGATTGACAGAAAAGCAAAAATGTTTCAGTCTTATACTGGACTACTTTGTTAAGAATCAGTGTGGTTTGAAGGGAAAGCCTTCCACAAATGTAAAACGTGAATAACACAGCTTACTAAAAGCCACAGATGATGCTCTTCTGAGTCGCTTTTAAGGTTTAACAAATGAAATACTCTTTCAAAAATGTACATACCTCCTGAAGTTTATTCCGGATTAAATTAGCTGACATATTTAAAGACTCATCCTCCATATCCACTTTGGGGATTTCTGGTAGCTGTGGCCCAATAATAACTTCTTTATTTCTTGAGCTTGTTTCAAGAAAAGTTCCAAGTTTACGGTCTTCTTCTCTTCTCCGCTTTCGCTCTTGCAGTTGAGTTGTTCGAGGCATGAATCTAGCAATCCCATTATTAAAGGGAATAACCCTTGGTGGTCCAAGATAGTCTAATGAAGTTTTAGGCATTTCTGTCTTTATACTCTGAATCAAAGAGTTATTCTGGTTACAACCTGATGTGGTTTTGTTATAGTTTCTGTCGTGCTGAGGAGAGATCAATGTTCCCTCTAACAGCTCTCCTGATTGGGAAGCTACATAGTTGG